GCAGAAAAGTCGTGGTCAATGACATCGCCCAAGACAGAGCTTAGCACCGCATAAAGGGTGATGTATGTCGAGTACAGGAATGCCTACCAGATCGGCATGAGCGACAATGCCGATTTTACCAATAAGAAGACTTACCATGACGGCGCCTAGATGGGATACACCCGGATATTTATCTGCCAAAGCTGCAGAATACAGGATGAGTTGACTGAAAGAAGGGTAAAATCGCAGGCTTACAAGCGTCGCCGGTGGAGAGCGCAGCCTGGATATAAGCAGATAATGATACATCTCCTGCAGCCCAACTCTACACATTCTGGATTGACAGATGACATGCTAAAGAGGGAGGCAGACGCACCATCGATATAGGAATAAATATCCCAGCTAGTCGCCATGCCCAGTCTACGGTGTGTCCAGTAATGGTGGTGAAATAAGGAAGCACCCAAACGATGTTGAGCTAGAAAAAAAGATGAGTGAATGGTCCTGACAGGCTAAACGATGAGCTTCACCATAAGCGCATCGAGACGAAGCCATGGGATCTATATAAGGCGTGAGATCAAAGATTGGTGCCCGTGAACGACACCTTCTAGCGTACCGGCGTGGTTACCACATCTGAAAGCAGAAAGACAGAAAGAGCTCCGAGCAGCTGCACAACAATTAGCACCCGCAAAAAGAGACGAAAGCATCCAGCACGTACTTCTCCGAAATTTGAGCCCCCGACGATTATTTGACTCCAGGCACTGACTCCTAGAGCACGTTTCGCAAAGGCTGGAGCAAGGGCGTTCTCAAGAAACCTGTCAAAAGTAATACAATTAGATGGATCGACTAGCGCGAGAAGAGACTAATTCAGCATACCGATGGAGATATAGTGCCAATGCGCTACATAAGATGTACACGATCAGCTAACCTGCCGAGTTGGGCATGTGAATCGAAAGCTCACTATCCAGGAACCAGCCCTTGAAACGTGCGTCAATACGTGGGTCAACGATCAATACACGGAAGCACTCACATATAAACCTCCTGTTACCAAGTACCATCATAGTTCCGACCCATATGGACTCTCCAAATCCAGAGATCCCGCGATAGACTTGAACTAAATAGTTCTTGCTTCGTTTCGGCCGATCGACTTCATCCAGTCCGTATTCCTCTTGCGAACCATAGGGCGAGTAGTTGAGCACGGAAACAAAAAACCATACCATGCCCGCCAGAGCGAAGAACACTATCGAAACAAGGTGGATGAATGAGAGGCACGAGGAGGTGGGTCATAACGGCATACCGGGGCTCAAAAAGAAACTGTAGTTATTTCCAAACCGACTGATGGCAGAAGATGAAGCAAAAGCAGCGACGGTACCGGTAACTTCGTAGAAGATGTGCTATTAAAAGCCTATGAGAAATATGCCGAAAGAAGTCTGCGAAAATGACTCACCACCGTCGCATCCATACGCCTCAGTTTACCCACGTCGCCTCCGACGATATCACACGGGCTAAAAGAAAGAAAGAAATGGAGACCGTATTACGATCATAGAAAGTCCAATAGAGGGGAACATTCGCACATGACTCGACGTATTAGTTCCACCATTCCGTATGCGACACCGCTGAGCGTCCATATTATGAATATCTACAACAGACATTAGGTTCAAAAGCAGCGCAGAATTAGGAAGAGAATGTACGAACCGCATTTGGATTCCAGGTCCCGTAATGTGTCGGACTACTAGCGGACTCGCGTATCTTCCCACCTAAGGCGACATCAGCATGCTGGCCGCTAGCTGATCAGTTCGGGCATTCTCACCGGTAGCGGCATCCACAACTAACAGAACCATCGTCATGAGACTGAAGAACAGGACCGAGACTCCGAGAACGGTTCTCGTAGGAAACCGCACGATGAGGGGGGCGATGAGGATAGCACCGACACATTGGGCTGCTTGATTCACACCTTGAGCAGCACCAACTACCATCCGAAAAATGAGAGAACAGAAGCAGATGTAATATAAAGGAAACGCACGCTTAGTGAATGTATCTGCTTGGGCAAACCTATCCGTAGCTAGTGTTGTTATTGACCCATTGAAGAATTCAAGCCCTGTCTTGTACAACATGATCCCACCAATGTAGAAGGCACTGAATGGACGTTCAGAGGCGATAGAAGAGGAAGTTCTGAGCGGTCATCGCGTACATGTTCCGTCGCTCCTCGTATGTATAGGCTGCAATATGACATAAGTTATCTTTTGTTAAATATGAAGGAATAATACTCACAGCGCCATATCTCAACAAAGCTCTTCATAGCGTCCGACAATAGTGATTAATACTAGCGCGTGAACGACTAGACATGCGTACAACACGAAGGAGGCACAACTCTTGATATATCTCAGAGGTGCTGTTTTCAGTCCACGTGCAAGACGAGTTCCGCCAGAACACGTTTGTTTGGGGATAGAGCGGATCAGCATTAGCGCTTAGATCACGGTGATATCAACCCGCGCTAATTTGAATAGCCAATCTGGACTGGTCCCGCTGCACTTGTTGACGAACGTGCATCCACATTTCGAATTGACATACAGCCACGATGTTTCCATGACACTGGTAAACGCTGGTTGAATTCAAAATGCTGTTCACGTCCGCTTCGGAAAGGTTTCTGTTTCCTTTCTGATGATCAGTATCTTGGTTAAACGTCCAATAAACTCAGCGCTGTCTGTTGGCTATTCTCGTCTGGACTGACAGGCTAACTATTATCAGCCAACTGAATGCAAGGACAGGTAATAGATCACCGAAAGAATGCTGGTAGGGAGTTTGGTAAATAAGGAATCAAAGATGTCTTTAATGAAGAGTGCGAGGTGTGGGGTGTAGTTCTTCAGACTCGTCTTGCGAAGAAACGCGCGGGGTGCTCTTTATTAATAATTGCTTCGAGAGGGGACGTTGAACGTTCCAAGGTGCGCACAATGTTTCCGGGGCAAAATGATAGCGGCTTTCCAAGCGCTCGTGTTGACGACATCGAACCTTCAGATGTCCGTTGTTTCACTTCAACCCCCGTAGCACAACCTTCCGCAAGATCATGACAGTTCGCATCACGACTGCTCTATAACAGGATGAAAATGGCAAGACCGCGGAGCGTTACGGGTATAGCAGAAGGTAGAGGTAGGGGGAAAGAATCCGGGTCTCCACGTCCGTCTTCCCATCATCAGCCTCTTGTCCGACCTAGATGGCGGCAGCAATCACTAATCTCTGGAGGATCACCAGAGCACCGCAAGGTAAATGAGTGTCGTAGTTCCGTTCGATGCAAGGACGGCTGTGGGGGGAGAGGAATTGTCACTGGATTGGATATGCGAGAGCCTGTGCGCTATCCCCCCCGGGGGGCTCTCGCGTGCATGTGCTCCTCGCGCCCACAAAAAAGTGCGTTCTAATGTCCAGGCTCTAAGGCCTGGTGACGGGGGTTCTCGTTGTTCGGAATAGATGTGCAAAAAAAGTAGCAAAGAGCGTCTGGCTACATGGTTGAGCGCCCTGGCCGCGGTCTCCGTGGTCCATCGGAAAGTTTTACAGCGAAGTTAAAATGTGCGCAGCAAGTTGCATTATTGGCACTAGCTCTCGTTAGCTGTATGTCTTCGTCCGAGTGTGCCGAGTCCGCAGTCCATCGCTTCAATGGTAGACTGATGCCCGAAAACTATTGACATGCGCATCAGTCTCAGATGTTTGTGCCAATGGCAAAAGGCGAGCACCTCCGCACCGATATATGGGTATATATATAGTTCCCCGAATCCCTGGTAGTATGCTCGTTTGGAGTCTGATTAGTCCAATACCGCCATCAGTCTTGCAAATTTACATTAAAGAATTGAAGTGATACCTACGCTGTTGGGATGACATTTGCCGAAGAATTCTGTAGCGAGCAAGGCTGCCTTATCAATCAGATATCTTCTCGCTGTTCCAATGCAGGTATCCATTCGCCGCTCTTCTTAGAAGCATTTCCACTGTTCGTCGTCAATAATATCCCACCTCAACACCCAAGCAGCATAACCGCCAGTTGCGCGCAAAAGGACCAAAACTATTGTTCGTTAAGAGAACAGGACGAGTGCTCAGTGCGCATTCCGGGCCGTGGGTAAACGTGCCATGCAATTGACCTGAACATCGTGTCACTGAGATCGGACCTTGCTTTGAAGGCGATAATAAAGCCTAACCACTACAGTGGATTCCACTGTTCCACGCCGTATAGCATGAGCCTGGTTTGGCGGGAGAAAGGCGTGGTAGTGCCCAATGAACGCGCGGTTATCCAAGAACGCCATCGAAAGATCTTGGCTCGACGAAAAACATGCCAAAAGCACACCATTGAATGCAAGAAAGAGTCCGCGGGTACGAATACTTCTTTACTGAAATAAGATTGTAGTCTTAGAGTAAGAGAAATAATACGCACTGAAGGTGTATGTCCTGATACAATCCAAGCTTAATCGGTGTCCTCGGTGTCCTTCATCTCCGTCACCTCGTCATGCAGCATTTCCAAAACTCGAAGAGATTCTCGTCAAGGAATTCAGTCTCATAATGACACCTTTCAGTCGCAGATCGTCAAGATATCATAGTGCGTTTGCGCAAGAAAAAACGGTACCTATTCAAGGTTCAACTGTGCGCAGACATCGTCGGCAGTCAGTTATCCCTAAGACCGGGCTTTCAATTTGATTTTCTTCGACTCCTGCCAGAAATTAATCAGTTCGTTACGTGCTAACAAGATAACACGCACTGTTACGTTGCCCTTCCCCTGTCTACCCCGTTCTGGGTCTGCGACCGCACGAGCTAGAGAACCATCTCCGTCTTTCTGGGAGACAACCGCATTATCCAAGCAGCGAGGGAACGGTAGAAGGAAGATAGTCTATCCTATAAGGCCCGGGATAAGGCATGCCTGCAGGAAAAGCTAGAACATTGTAACTCACAGCAATTTCCGTGTCGACTTTCCATGAGATACTGAGAAACACAAGGACTATAACAACAGAAAATAATCGGGCAGGCGCGAGCCTGAGGAACGGCTACGTTGAGCTACGCTGTTGGAATTTGGTCGTCGGTGGCGCAAGGGCTTATTGTGACTTGTTGGTCCACGGCGCGCGTGGCTCTGGGCTTGGCCCAACCAACTTAAGGTCCAACTTCACTCCGAACTTTTTGTTGATGAAAACTTCCCTCAATTGCTCCGCCCTTCAAATTTAATTTCAAACTTCAAGACGAGGTTCCGTACCGCTTCTTGTATAAATCTGTACCTGTAATAAGCTTCACAGGCCAACTCGTCTTGTTCCGGGCCTCCTTGAACGAGTCTTCAAACTTCAGTCAAGGCTGAAACTGTGATCCATTACCACATCCTTTTGATATTGACATTCCGCTGCTACGGAAAATTTTCGTCTTCTATTTTTTAGACTTGGCCGATTTCTGATGACATGGCTTTGAGGGTCTTTTCCCGAGCTTAGGCTAACGAACTTCTTATTGACTTTGGTCACCAAGTCAAGCTTTGACCTGCTTTGTTTATTGTTTTTCCAGAGCTCAGTGGCACAACGAGCTTCTACATAAATGGCGTTGCTGTCTCATAAAAATGTCGTCCTTTCTTACACTCCTCCGCCACTCTGCTCTAAAGTTTGAAGACATGCCTCCTCCCATCAATGTAAAATTTATGTCTGTACCACGAGTGGGTTTTTTTCTGTTTCTGGCCATTTGTTGTTGACATTTCCCTTCCTTTTTCATCAAGCTGCCTACCAGCACTCCCTTTGACAGTGCTCGACCCAACGAGCTAGTCACCCTCGCCAGGAAGCATCTCTGGCGCCCTCTTCCTACTTCATCTGGAAATTTCTCATCTCCTACCAAAGTCATGGCGCTCGGATTTCTTCGAAGACTGATGCTTCTGGAAGAGAGCCATGTCGTCTTTCCCATCGATACCATCGCCGAGCTATCGCCGTACGTTCACAAATGGGCCATTTACTTCCTAAAGACCAATCGTTGGCTGACCCACGAGGACGCCAACGTGGGAATTCTTGTAGCTTCTCTCAGTCGAGTTGGCCAATTTGCGAAGTATCCAGTCTCGAACGCACTCCTTCCTTCACAGTCGCCAGACGTTGTCCCCTACATCCTGGAACTCTATGTTGATCTGCCCAACCTGCCAGGTGTTTGCAAACAATTCCTCGCGCCCATTCTTAATGACTACTTCTCAGATGTGACTCTTGGCGGGCAATGCATGCATATCCTTGGGAATGTCCCACGTCACAGACTATTGGCATATGTTGACCGCTTAAAGGATACAGTCTCTAGAAAGACTTTGCGTTTGAGCGACTTACACAGTATCCTATTATTCATGACCTCCGCTTCTCTCATCGATCAACGCATTCACAATGAATTTCTTCAGCTTAACACTATCAAATGTGTCTGCAACGCACTACAGCGCCTGACTCCCTCCCTAGAAGACTTTGAGAATTTCGTACATGTTCCCCTTCGACTCACCAACATCGATCTTTGCGCGGACTACCTCAGCAACGCTTTTTTTCAAAACATTTCACTTTCAGTTAAAGCTGTCCATCATGGCCAGCTTCTTCGGTCTCTTATGCGATCTGTCATCATAGTTGACCAACACCGTCCCCCAGTAGCTCGTCCAAAGTATAACTCTATCATCAAGCTAATCGCTCAAGTGACCATCTGTTCCATGTGGTTTCCGGCGCTCAACGCGATAGTATCTGCTCTCAACTCTTTCACTCAAAAGGAAGCTGCTCCTTTGCAAAAAATACCAAAAGACTCAGACATTCAACAGTATTGGGCAACGATGCTTCACACAGTTAAACAGCGGATGGAAATGAGGGACAACATGACATACATCCTTCGATGCAATAATCCCGGGGTACGCCTTTTTTTCGAAATCAAATCTTAACGCAGTTTCGCTGAAGTCACCTCTCCCAGTGTTCCGTGACGGGATTAGATGCCCTCAAGCGATGTACCGCGTGCATGAATATGACCGTATGTTCTACGCGTTGCCAGAAACGGGAATGGAACAATGGCCACAAGGAAAGATGTCGCTATCTGAGAGGTGAAAATTATATCTTTACCTCTGATTTGTTCATACTTATACCTCACTACAGCGTCTCTCCCTACTATGATGCGCGAGGAGGACGAGTACTTCCTGAATTGTGTAATCAAAGCGGAATTCCCCTATGAACATCTGATGGATCCCGCGGTCGTGGCGCGCATGACGAAGGGGAATGAACAATACCATGAGCCGATGGTTATGTGTATAGATTATCGTTGCATTCCCTGCGTCCGTGCATTGGTGCCCGTCTCTCTCTGCCCCAATGTCGGGCAGGATCTGATAGACAAGCGGGATTTAAACAAGGACACCAGTTTTATCCTCCAAACTACGCTTCCTTTAGCTCGTGGTGGACTGACTGTTACCCAAGTTGTGGAGAATTTCGATCTTAGTACAATACGCGTTGTTTAAACCCTTTTGCCATTCCCCGGGTCGGACTTGACTTGTAGTAGAGTTGTTGAATTGGCGGTTTCTCCGGTAGCCCTTGGACCCCCCATACGATATTTAAATAAAATCAACGCAGGACGCATTCCCTGCTGTGTGTAGTACGCCGGCCTGGGAAAGTATCTGACTTTGGTTACCAATTTAAACCCACCACGATCCGATTCTCGAGATCTTGGTATCTACCTCTCGAACGGACGTTCTTCGATCTGGCCTGCTTCAAGACTGTTTGCCCCTGTAGTCTCCTATGCAGTAGTAATATGGATGGTATTTAGTGTCTGCTAAAGGCAGAGCATACTAGTAAGCGAATCTGTCCAACTAGAATGCTGTTTTGTAGATAAAAATTCCCTGATCCACAGGACCGCTTAGTTATACGATGGAGACGGCCAGATAAACTGCGCTGCATACATCACGATTAGAGACCGTCCTTCAGCTCGCACCCTTTAGTAGATTATCAACGACATCAGTTTGCTCGTCTGGCTGTGCGATGGATTCTAATTCTCAATAGCACACGCATTCTTTATCCAGCATCATTGATTTCTCGTACGACTTGAAGTAACTACAGATCGTCCATATCCATTACAAATTACTCAGTCCCTCAGAGGCCGATGTTGATGGGGGTGCAGCCAAGTGCAACAACACCGTTCTGTTCGTAAATGTTAGTACAAGGTCAGACACAGAATAGAGCTACTAACGAAGTTGTTGTTCTGGCAGCAGACCACCTGGTTAGAGCACGAGGTGCCGCCGACACCGATGACGCTGATGGGGCTGCAGGTAACACCACTACGTGAAAATTCATCAGCCATCGACGAGATCCATAAAGATATGAAAACTTACACGTTCGCAGTGGCATCGCCAATAGGGATCCCGAGGAGGCCCAAGAGAGTCTGAACGACACTCGAGGTAGGCTACAATAGTTCACTTGAGTTCCTGCTTTGACTCCGACTTGCAGGAGACTTACACTCTGAACGGAGGAGCAGCACTGCACGGTACCACTGGCGCAGGACGCACCATCGCCGCGGGGAACGACGGCAGTGGCGGACGCAAGGAGAGGCAAAGCCAAGAGAGCAACAGAAGAGAGACGAGCAAACATTGTGAACTGAGAGAAGGCTGTACAACTGTGAGGGCTGTTTGGCTTGATGATACCTCGTAAATCAACCTCTCTTTATAGTTTTTTCGTCCTATGTTCTCAAAGACAAAAATAGTTCATCCAGACTCGCGCTGCGCCCAGGTTGAGTGCAGCGCTCGGCTGACATGAATGACGCGGTTAGAGCTCATTTCTCACCGGTTACATGTGCCGTAGTGGTGCGATATGCATGATGTGGCGTTCAGTGGAAGCGAACATTCATCGAATATGACTCTTTTTGTTCTGAGTCCTTTCCGATATTCTTGGCCACAGGGTTCAGGTCTTGATGTAAGTAAGCCTATTTCCGGGGGCAGATCCTGAGGCTAGCTTCTCTCTGAAAATATATAGATGTGATCGTATGGAGCAGGGAAATTTGGATAATTCTCCCACCTCTCCTGGTCGAAACAGTTATGCATTCACGTATCGTTCGAGAGCCACGAACTTTGTTTTACTTACAGCATCTGTACGTTGCTTCTTTGAGTCCAAAACGTAGGTTCCGCGAATACCGACTCAGTACAGGAAATCTGATTCTGAAACAAGTGTCGCGTAAGAAATTCATGGACCCTGATCTACTTACCTCTCTAATTAATTCCAGAGTGACGTACAATTTGAAAATGCTCGTGAAGGGCCCACGACTTCCCCACACCGCCCGCCAGCCCGACGACGAAAACACGCTTTGGACAGCCGACATTATTTGCGGACAGAAACATCGAGTTTTTGAGGCCCCGCAGAGCCTCATGGAGCGTAAAGCAACAAATATCAAGATTCTCCTACAAAAGCATCTCGACTTCCTGCCATGTATAAAATTACTTCGTCTCCGATGCTAGCTTAACCGAGTTGGAGCGTAAGTTTTATCCCACGTGGAATCGGCCGTAATAATACCAGTAAGCTTGTTTGATTGGGGCCCTTTCCTGAGATGCAAGAATAATTAGGCGCTGTCTCTGCCAACCCCCGGTATCTCATCAATAAACACATCTTGAATGACTGAACCAAATATGAGGTTCTAACTCCGAGGTGGATATGTACTCACGGGCATCTAGATATATCCTTCGGGCATATTTTTGAATAAAATGAGGACACGAGGGACGGAGAAAAGATTGATACCAGCACCATACCTAAAGTGATAGAAACGAGAGTCGAAAAATGCACGGATTCAGGTATGTGTTTGCTTGAGAATCCAGAGGAACGTTTCAAGTAGCATCCTGCCTATACTGACAGGGTAAATGGCTATTCGGAGTTTTGGAGACGCTGGGAACACAAAAGATCAAAATGTTGCTCAAGCTAGGAAGAAAGGACAAGAATGCTCTGTTCCTGAAGATCTATTCTCGGAAAGAACCATTGGAAGCTTGATGACAATGTTCAGATGGATTTACGGGGAAAATTTACCGAAACGAGAATAGGACAAAGGAAGTCACTGGCACAGGGTTCGTAAACCTTGTCCAATCTCGATGGGAACTTGACTCACAGTTAAATGGAAGGATATAATCGCCAATGAAGGCGGCTCCACCTGTCGAAAGACCCGAGTTGTGGAAACATGTCCAAGGAACTCACGTGAAACAAACAAGAAACTCCTGGTTTAACTGATTGAATGTGCCGATACACAGGAGGTAGAAGATTAAAAAAGTAATATCAATGAATAACTTGCCTTGACATGTACCATCAGTTGGCTATCAGATGATTTCCATCCTCTCAACAATTGAAGAAACGAACATAGCGAGGCTCGCCAGTAAAGGATGGAGAGTACTCGGCTTTTCATAGCTAATGCAGCTGAGGTCGTTCTACCAGTGTAAGCTTCGAGTGTCCAAGGTACCTCAGCGCGATTGTTGAAGCAATGTGATAAGCGCCGTCAAATGGAAGAAAGAAAAAGATTTCACGAAGCCCCTCACAGAACATGATGGTAGTACGCCGCAGATTTTAGCTGATCTTCTTACATCAAAGTCAGCAGTGCCTGAGATGCACACTATACTGGGATATACCGCCCTGTCCAGCACCGCCAGCAAACTGACGGTCGAGGGGACTCGTGAATTTACACATGAATACAGGCGTAGGCGACAACCCCAGAGAATACTGCGGAAGCATCTAAACCAGGAAATTTGATTGATTATCGAGGCGCAAACCTTCAAGGATTGTGGTAATTATAGCCTATGGTCAACATTTCGCTCACGTTAGAAATAAAATTTATCAGATGATGAATCGGACTGTTCACATACCGTCCCAACATCGGTGTTGTATCGACCCCGCTGTTCGCATTCGATTCATCTATCAATAAGTATGTTTGACGCCGCAGACCTGGTCGCGGCTCATCGGACGCGGGTGCCTTGTGTAATGACACGCGCTTTGTACGCCTAGATTGGCTATATTTATCCTTGATACAAGCCCCCAAAGTACTGGCCACTTCAGATGCAGTGTCCACACAAAAGACAAGTCTCGTGTTCAAAGAATAATAGGTGATGAAGCCGTCCTTCGGGAGAAAAAAGTTCGTCCTAACGTGTTTCCGCCACGTACCATATCCAGATTCGTGTCAGAGAATAACCTGGTTGTGAGGCAAATCAGGGCTGGATCAATTGTGAGGGAATGAGCCATCACCTCCACCAAAGAAGGCATTGTCGACGAGGATGCCATTTGATAGATTCTGACGTGCCATGCAATCGATCAAGACCATGTCGAAGGCGCAGGTCGCAGAAAAACCGTAAAAGCGAGCACAGACATCAGTGATAATGCGGACGCCACCAAACAATCAAAGTGCGCGCAAGTAGCAGTGGCTACTGAAGCTGATATCCTAGTGAATAATAGAGAGAACAGGTAGCAGGTAGCATGTAGCAGGCGACCTTGCCATTTCGGAGAGTAGATTGAGGAATAGCAAGGTATTTCAAGGAAGAATGTAGCCAGATAATCTTCATAAAATGTACGTTACACCAACACACGATGGTAAAGGCAGCGGTAGCCCAGACAAATATTCCGATGAAGGATCAGGCACTAGTATGGTCATTTAGTCGTTTAAGAGGCAACTGTGCGCACCGGATTCTGGTAAACCTGGATACATAGCTCAGTGATCTGAGCCATGATAACTGGAACCATACAGGGACGGAGCCAGTGCCAGAAGCAGAACCAGGCTAGCAGACGGGAAGACTGGATGAGTTCAGGGACCAACCCTGAACATTCCGTGGGGGCCGAGGGGCCTGCCCTAAAGTTATGTACCTACTAAAGAGATTTACCGGGCCGGGTATTTGAGCCGAATCACGACGCTAAAACGATACCACGATCCTCTAAATATGTCCTTACTAGCATTGGCAAGAATATTGTGAGATAGCTAGCGTTAGCAATACAATGAATGCATGAGCCTTGTTTTCCCCCCTGTCTAGGATTTCGGAAACGTTGTCATCTGCTGTACTGACATATTTGTCATTTTCTTTCTTAGACCAGACAACGACTATGGCGGCCATACCGTATGCCATTCCCACCACTGAAATACCAGTGACGGCCGGGCCCAAACCCAAAAGAACTCGAACCCGAAGAACAATTGTGAGTCTTTTATTCGAAGACTGTGCATTAAACGCTCAACAGTTACATAGAAACGAACGGATGCAGCCAAGGAATTCCATCTCAAGCCAGTGGACCTCGATACCCTCACCCCTGCCAAGCAGAGGGATAATCCATATGGCAGAAAAGTGACCTTTTACAAAATCGACGAGATAGAAGCTCTAGCTGAGCGACTTCATGAAGACCCTTCTACTTCACAGTCGCTAAGTCGGCCCCCAGTGACAAGAAAAAAGAAAGGTGGATCAATCACCAAAACTGATGCTGAAGCTCACTATTCCGTACGTCATTCTCTCTTTAGCTAATTAATATATTTAGGCTCTAATGTTCATGCCGTAGCTCCAGCCAGTTCATTTGGATGGGATAAAGCCTCGTGAGGTAAAGAAAAACCCTCACGATGAATCTCGAAGCATGTACATTTACAATGTTGTTGATGTAGAGGTGAGTTCGGGCCTCTGTGGAGTTTTCGGTTTGTCTTAACGAAACTCGTCAGGAACTGGCAAAGGCAGTCCACGGGCCGCTATATAGGCTTCCAAAGCGACCTGCGAAGTCCTTCACGTCTTTAATCCCGGACCTCGACGAGGATGACCTTTACCCTGGGTATCACAAGTGGTACTAGAGCTCATGTAAGTTAGTAGTGTGGTATCGAATTCTTTTCCATGAAGCATACAACCATCCTTCTCTTTCTTGAAGTCTCTATATTTTGGCCGTGTCGACTACAATATTGGCACTCGCATCCCCATGTGCCATCGATAGACACGTTTGCATGCCTAGTGTCCATTTTTGTTCTTTATGCACCCGCGACGGCATATTTTGAATCCTCAGGTTGAGTCTATCGTTGGATATGCTTGGGCTGTCCTCCTACTCAAACCTATCATCGAAATCATGATACAACCGTTTGCCTTTCTCCTACATTTGTTTAAAGAAAAGGCTGGTCTCAGACTCTCAGTACTTGTGGTCTACTTTTGCTGTCGCCAAATTGAATGGCAACCATACTTACTCGGAAGCGCGTGTCGCAGCCTTCTCAGGCACGTGATGCGACATGTTTGTTTTTCGCACTTCGAATCCTCATCGCTTGATCGATGAACGGCGATTTGTGACTGAATCTCTAGACCACCACCATCGACATCATCTCAAATTATCCAATGGCTGGGTTCCCCGAAGGTATGACCTAGAGAGATTTGTATGGTGGTGGTATATACTTAATTAAACGCTTATAGGCATCGACGACTCGTATAGCTGGCCATGCACGATCCTCTGCCACAAATGCAGCAGATGCTTACCTTCTATGAAAGATCCCAAAATATCTTCATCCGGAGTCTTCCTCAAATTCCGTGAACTCTACTCCCCTTCAGAGTTGGAAATTCTGTCCATATCTAACCTTCGTTCGCAAATAGCTGAAGAAATCGACGCCTACGATGCAGAAATCCTCCGAATTCAGAGTATTTCGGAGAAACTGAATCGAGATCGTGACCTGCTGAGAAGTTACGCTGATCATTATGGCGCGTTGCTTGCACCAGTTCGGCGACTACCCTATGATATCCTGCTTCAAATATTCGAAGAGGCTTGCAAGCAGGAGTCGGACCTCTACCCATCAAGTGTCCCTTTTCTTCTGGGGCTGGTCTGCAAGCGCTGGCGCAATGTCACCATTACTTCTCCCAGTTTATGGTCGAACATTGTCGTTCGCTTACCGTCGCAAAGGCCCTTTCCTGCTTCTCGATGGCAGTCTATCCACAAAGTAGTCAAACTTCACCTACTTCGGTCGGGGTGTATGCCCCTGGCGCTCAGGTTTTTGAGTTCCAGGCTGGTGATCATACGTGATGATGGCTTGGATATCGTCGCTGAGACCCTTGTCGCCCATCAGTTTCGCTTCCGTGAAATTCGAGGGCCATTGCGAGCCATAGCAAGGTTGCCAGATGGTCTGCTAAGTAGCGTGGGAAGCCTCATTATGGAAGGTTACATGCGCGAAAGTAATCGTCGCTACATATGTGATCTTCCAAACATCCATACCCTTACGATACGCGACGGTGTTCCGCTTTCTCGCATTGACCTCCCACAACACGTACACACACTTAACCTGGAATTCCGTCCCGGAAATGTTGGTGCTGTTATTCGCAATCTCTCTCGAATGCGGAGCTTGCGATCCCTTACAGTCGAAGCATATGGCCTCTGCGAAGTGGGAGACGTTGGCCACTTCGTCCGCCTTCCTACATTAACTTCCTTCACTTGTCGTAATATGTATCTCAATACCGACACTCTTTGTTGTTTCCTTGCATCCATCGATGTTCCCGCTTTGACCGATCTCACCATCATCGGCGGAGCTTTCCACACACAAACTATCATATCCTTGATTCAGCGCTCCCGCCCGCCGCTACGCAAACTCACGATTATTACCACTTCCCATGCTACCGGTGTTGTAGAGGTCGTGGAATTCATTGAGTTGTTCAGGGCGATGCCGGACCTGGCCAGCCTGACAGTTCATGACTTTGCAACATCAAAGACACTATCGGATTCGCTTCTGAACGAACTGAGGTTCGATCATGATCATGACCCCCTTTTGCCCAAACTCGAGCATCTCGAGCTTGCTTGGGTTATGCCTTGTGTCATGAATTCTTCTGATGCAATGATAAATCTCATAAAATCCCGACATATTGGTTGTAGCAGTTATCGTGGTAGAGTGACGGATGTCCCTCTGAAGTCAGTCGCGCTGGGCTGGCCTCTGCTTTTTCAGGATCTTGCCCTTCGCAGACTGGAGGGGTCGGGGTTACAAGTGAGGAAAGTGGGTTCCATACAAGAGATGACCTGTATGTCGAAGTATGAATAGAATAAAATCTTTCTATATCACAATGTTCTATCAATTGGGTCTCGTCTTTGAAATAATGATGGTCCCCGAGTGTATAGATGAAATGATGTGTCTTCGCGGAGAAGAATAATTCGAGAAGATATCCGAACTCTCAAAGTAGGCCTCAATGCCAATGAATCTTCACGTCGAGCACCGTCTACATCCAACTTCGCTTCATCCTCAACACCAGGATACCTCGATCTAATGCCTGTGGCATCCCTTCCTTAATCGCATCCTTCAGCGGTTCCAGGACCTGTGCTTCGCCTTGAGGTGGAAGTTTGATCACGAATTCCTTGAGGCTTTGAATCTGAGCTAGAGCATTATCCAGATCAGACCATACCTGCTTATTTTTGACGAGATGAAATGACATCTCTTCGTTAGGCGCCAGCTTAGGCGGAGGTATACTGGTGATACGAGCTTGGTACATGCGAGGATAGTGGGGTTCGGCAAACAGGGAGATGTGGATACTGGACAGCTTAATGTCTGTGCTCAAAAAGCATTTGATCCACCACTGCAAGATATCTGTTTCGTTACTATAATCGCAGTCGTCTAAGCTGAGATAAAGATGGTTTAGAAAGGGCGGGAAGGATAAAATGGGTAGTTCATCGGTATCTAGAGGAGAGTTAGCATGGGAGACCAACATCGAAAATCAGAATAGGACGTACCTGCCACTTTGATAATACCCACTCGAAGCTTTTGGACCAAGCCACCCGATTTCTCCAAGATAGTCTTGATGGAAGTCAAATCACTAGCTTGCTGGACAGTCAAGATACGGAGAATGCGGAGATGTCGTACAGACAACGGGGCTGAATTCTGAACGATATCGTCAGCGAGGCGCACAAGTATATCCCTGCAGTCCTCGAACTCGAGTATGCGGACGCGGGGGATTATGGGGGTGCTTCCAGCCTCCTGCAAGTCGGACACGCTGCCATATCTACCCAAAGATACGGACCATAAGGCCAACGTGTGTAGTTTGGGAAAAGCTTGGATGAAGGAAACCAAAGCACGGTACGACGCGACAACTGTATGATGAAGATCCACCACAGGAATGCCGTAGCACTTTCCCTTGGAAATGAATGATAGGTGATCCCAAGGTATGTGCTCGAAGTGGAGTAGTCGTACGCTGACGGTCAATTCGAGAAGCTGCTCGATCACGTTGACTGGAGCGACTGTTTGATCTTTATCCGAACAGCCAGAAAATTTCAGACGGTCAACAGAGAATGCAACACCTTTCGAAGCATTGCAGATATCAAGGAACACATCGCAATCATGAAAGCTGCGCAGGACGACACGCTTGAAACGGTGGTGGCGAGTACGAAAGAGAGTCGCTCGTGAGAGGAGAGCGGCAGCGTGAAGGCTTTCGCCCTGTTCAACGAGAGCATCGACAACAAGGTCGCTGAGTTCTTGGCAGAGAGGCCACTCCATGGGTCTGTGGTGGGTGAATGAAGGGAACAGAGAGTTGACAGCTATTTATGTGCGAGAACAACATGGCAAAGCCATTGAAATAGAAGAACGTGTCACCTTGGCGACTATTGTTTTTGTTTTGCGACTCCAAGCCGTAAAATGCCACTGGGCATCAGGAACACATGAGGGAGGTTCGACAGTTGCGCGCAATTTGAGCATCAAGTTTTCGCAGGCCACGGGCAGATGGCGACAGAAGGATCAGGACTTAATTGTTCTGCCTTCCCCCTTATAACTTTTTCTCAGCGACCCTCCCGCCGCCCGCGTCGAAGGCAAATAGTGACAAAAAATGGATTTAGAGAATATCCATGGTAAGAGTTACTATCACGCTCAAAGTTACGGTACAGTCCAGCAAATATGCCGAAAAGACTCACTATCCCATAACAGTTAGGACCTGCACCAATCGATTGACAGAGAATACAGCTCTGTGTTGCAGTCTAGTGAAGAGACTCGGTGTTTTCGTGGTTACAGTTCTGGACAGTTGTGTGGGGGAAACGATGGCGTCGTCATCGAGAACTGGAGAACTGGTTGTTGCGGAACATCGTCCCGAGTTCCGCGCTGTGCGGTTCAGGGTCCTTCTCCTTTCTCGGAATGTCTCGTCCGACTTGTATGTTACTTACGTTCATGAGCTCTTCAAAGGAACCGAACTATACTCTGCCATCCAACGCGACTCTGTTCTTCCGGTCTTGGATGCTACAATCCATACCCTTGTATTTGCCTCGCTGTCCTCGCATTAGATTGGAACAACGACAACCCAAATATGGCGTGCCGAAAACAGTTTAACAAATGCCTTGCTTCATTTTGCTGACCCCGTGCGGTACCGGCGCTTGTCATCGCCCTTCATCTCACCCTTTCAATCCGTGTATTAAAGATACACAAAATCTGGGTCATTTTCTCCTCTGATCTCTCAGACAGTGAGTTCATTTTCTTGGGAACTTGCTTACATTTTCTCTGGGCGCTCTCCAAGTTAATTGGCTCACGCAGACCGAGCCACTCGTGTTGACGCCACTTCGGTCTTGGGCCCAGGAATTGAGACTTTCCATTCCGTAATCCCAAGTGCCGTGGACTCCAAAATGAGTCGTGACATGTAGGTTCACCTTCACCTTCAACTAACTTTATCTTACTCTCGCTAGATATCCTCCTTCGTCTGAGTCTCGTTTGTCGTTGTCGACGTCGACGTCTGGTCCGGAAGCGGTAAATGTCATGTCACTTCTATCTTCACAATTTCCAACTAATTATCTCCCTTTAAAGACTTCCTTGGCGGCGCCTACCGAGAGGCCTACTCCGATCCATGGAGTCCCTCTTGATGTCTTGGAAGAGATATTCACCAATCTGATCAATAGTTTGGTACTTGCTGTGGACGATTATCGCGGCGACCGCTTTCATTCCAGCATGCTCACTATATCTCATGTGTGCGTCTATTGGAGAGATGTATCGTATTCGCTCGCTTCCTTGTGGTCCTTCATCTTCGTTCCAGTTCGATACTTGATATCAAGGGGTGAGCATTGCCGAGAACACCGAGATGTCGACATATCAATCCCGCCGGCGCTAATCAACGTTTATCTTCGGCGTTCTAAGAACTATCCACTGTCTCTTTTCCTGTTCCGAAAGCACGATGGCATGCGGAGGAAAGGATCAAGGTCAACACAAAATTATACATCTGCTACTATAACTTCACTCCGTACACAAGCTCACCGCTGGCGCGAGCTCTACATATCTTCCATTCCCTTAACATTCCAGGATTTTCCGAAGCTTTTCACAGGATTGGGGAACCTCACATCGCTCGAACGGCTGACCTGCGTAAAGCCCTTTGACATATGGAAGTTCCGTGCGTTCACCACCGCCCCGAACCTTCACTGGTTAGATCTAGGGGAATACGTCCGCCCGGGTAACATATCGTCGCCCTTTCCTTACGCCCAAATCAGCCATCTTATTCTTCGGTCCCTCGACTTTCAATCAACGTCCTTATTCCCCAACATAACCGATGTCACCATGTACGGTACTCCCCCACGTCACTTCCTCTCACCAAGCCCCGATTTAACATCTAACATCGTCTCGCTCACCATCTGCCTCACCTATTTCACCCAGGAGCATCTCCCCCTCTACCGACGTGACATTTCCCTTCCTCGACTCCGAGACTTGACCATCATCTACGTCGGTCCCGTCAGGAACCCTTTCAAAGCGGAATACCTCACTCAAGACTTGATCACGGTATTCTCCCATCAGATTCAGCATCTCACTCTCTGGCGGGTACCCATCTGCGTAGAAGACCTCATAACTATCTTGGAGTTCCTTATCGAGCTCCGGCACCTTGGTGTACACGACCCTCTTCCACCCGTGTATAGACCGTACTGTCCTATTTCGCGCGAACTGATCCGGCGTCTCGCTACGGACCCGTTGTTCCTCCCCCACGTAAACTCACTGGACCTCAAGTGGCAGTGGGATGATGTTGACGAAGGAATGGTCATGGATATGCTGCTTTATAGGACAGGTAGCACAGGGTTCGCGAAACCGTACGTCCCGCCGTCGTACTTGAATAGTCTCATCGAGCAGATGAGGTGCTGGGTCGTCTAATGGAGCTGTGGGTTCGGGAATGTCCTCTCTCTGATGATCGTTGACTGGACTCATTTTTGCATAGCCGTGTTGAGCGGGACGAAAAATTTCAGGTTATGTTTGGCCCATTTGTTGGTGTTTTGGAAGGGAAAAAACGTTGACGTCCCTTGACCCGGATGTATGACGCAATGCCCCAATGGTCTTCAGTGCTGAAGACCATTCGAGCATTGCATCATACATTACCTCCGCAACCATCTCATAGAAGGTTTCGCCCACAGTGTTGCAGGTAAATGTACCAATATGCCCCAGGATCTTTGGCGCACCTGTTTCTTGATCTGGTCCGTTATAAATGCAATTACTATTCATGGAAATAAAAGAAACAAAATGCGTGAGAATCGACATAGACACGAGCGACGTCGTAGAGACCCGCGTAAAAAGTTGCCAGCCATAATTCGTCCTCGACCTCCAGTGGCACGACATTGTTTCCGGACGCCCACAAGCAGCAACTTTTAGCTTCTTTTCAAACCCCCGGTCATGGTACGCTCTTCTGCAAATCATCAGACCACTGTTTCCGCGAAAGCATCAGTTCTCGCACAGCGCATGGTTCGCCATGTCAGGGCTGTGGACCCGGCCGTTCCTTATTGGGACCTGGCGCCGGTAACACCACCACCACCACCACCACCTCATGTACCCGTCAGCGAAAGATTTTATCCGCTTCGCAAAAACGATATTGCATAGACAGCGCGTCCATATGCGCTACGTCTCTTCTTTGGCATCGAGACCGCCTATCACAAAATGATAAGATTTCTTGGTTGTTCGGGCGCCACCCGTATGGTGAATAGGGTCCTTCAAAGCTTCTTCAGACATAAAATCTGTCTAATAGTTGCACGTACTCACGTTCTTTCCCCCAACAATGGTCAAGATTATGCGCTCTCTCTTCATCCTTGCCACTGCAGCATTCGCAGTCGCGGAGACGCCAACACAACGGTGCTCCGGCTACAACCAACTCGTTCAGTGCTGTGAGAACGTCGTCATCGCAAACAAGGCTCCCCTCGCTGCATTGAATGTCGACGCTGGACCACTAGACCCCTCCAAGTACGTCGGACTTGGGTGCAGTTTACCCAGAATTGTTATCGCCCAGTCTGCCGTTAGCTGGTATGTTTTCCACCTCCTGCAGTCGAGATTGAGTACTGAACACGTTAATTTAGTTCGAGTCCCGGTGCCACGGAATTGTGCTGCAGTACTAACATCTTTGTTGCGAACGATGGTAAGCACGACTATCTCTTGAGCGTTGGATAAAATAAACCTTACCGAACGACAGGAACGTTCACTGCAGTGAACTGTACAATGGCCGCATGAGCTTGGGGTGGGCTTCAAAGGTCTGGCACCTCAACGTAGTCGGTCTGTTGTCTTCTAGAGCAGGGTGTAACTCTGAGAATGGCGAGATTGTATGATTTTTTCTTCTATCGAAAAAGATGAGAAAGTGTGAAGGGATTATTGAGTACGATTAACATTTACTGAACAGACTTCCGCTATTCGGACGACATCCGAAGTCGCAGAATACATTGAAGACCATACGATTGTTGTTAAGATCCATCATTAGAATTGTAACCCATCGCGGAGTGATCTAGGTTGGTGCCAGGAAGCGAAAGCAAGGTTTAGGGTGTGAACCATGACAACCGATAACTCGGACAGTCCTGGTGGTCCCACCGCTCCACTACCAGAAAGGTTAGAGAGTAGACGTCAAGACAGATGGAGCATGCGTACGATGGCCTTCCATTCTCTGATGAGCTTCGCTTGCCGAGGAACTCTCCGATGCTTCGGTATGCTTGAATGCGGCAACAGCTACAAGAGAGAACACCGTATGTCGCGCTTGAGAAGGAGGAGCCTGATACGGAAAATGCTGGCACGCAGGAGCTGGTGGTGGACGGTAGGAGGCACGAGATCGCCCGACAAACAAACCTCAACAACGCGTACCAGCCCTCGGACCGAATCCGATTCCCTCGCTTTCGTTTGCCCTCGTGCCAACGGAAAATATTCGTCGTTCTTACCTCGAAAAGTGGCCTCCATCTTAGTATATCTTTCTCAGCCTTTATGGCGCCCGTGCTCGTCTTTTCGCTGAATGGGCTAGGTGCAGCTTCCAGTTGTTTCAACCATTTCGTTATTGTGGACTGATTTCGTCGGTAGATTGGCATAGCGACGTACCACTGGTGCTTCTTGTACCAGATATTTTGTTGTTTATCTTATCAACTCGCTCGGAAGATCAATTTTAAGATCTACCACCACCGTTCGAGCCCTGCTTTCTGTTTCCCTACGCTATATTCGCCGATCAAACTTGCCTGGCCTATTATCTCGGGCCGCTTGCTTCCTTCCCTTTCATCTGACGCTGGACTTTCTTCGATAGTACCTGCCTGATACCGGCCTGCGTAGGTTCCCTCCCGTTTCCGAGAAGAAATACGAATCTTGTTTGATGCTAGTATCTACTTTATCGTTCCTATCAATCGTGTGGTTCTTCAGGACCCTAAGACCCTTCGCACCCGCAGCTATACGGCAGCTTCATATCCAGCGCTACCATGTTGCTCCAAACGGACGATAAGACGGTTCATCCGGCAAGATAAGCATGGCGGATTTCCCATCAGAAGTATTCTTGGCAGTGGTATATAGGGATTCTTTGATGTCCGCCAAGGCTTCTTCATCCGTAGCCCGCTATGTCCTCTGCAACTCAAGAGAAGACCTCGTTTGACGAGAAGAATGTCGTCGTCGAGGCAGTCGCCTATGAAGCCCGAGATAACACTGAAGGTAAGTATCTCAGTCATTTCAGCTGGGGTAGATGCTGACCGGAACACCGTTCATAGTCGCTATCGCGTCTGAGTACACCCCAGAACAGTACAAAAAGCTGAAACGCAAGATGGATTTCTATCTGCTTCCACTCATGTGGCTTTGCTGTGAGTCACTACGCGTGCAGCATCCTACAGCTCTAATACATTCGTTATCAGACGGTATCCAGCAAGCCGACAAGACGGGGCTGAGTGCGCAAACCCCTCTGACTTTCACTACAAATCCTGAACGTCTTGCAGGCACTATGGCGACGTTCGGTCTGCGTGAGGACACAGGCCTGGTTGGACAACAGTACTCGTGGTGAGTAGATCACCGTTTTCTATAATACATCCCTAATTATTGACATTCCCGATGAGGCTGACAACGGTTTTCTACCTCACGTATATGTGTTTCGAATTCCCATCCAATATTCTCCTTCAACGATGGAGGATGGGTAAGACTTTGTACGTATTTGCTTCTTTGCCAAGGCATTATCAATAACATCCGTTCACACTCAGGTCGATCTACATGGTAAATTGATCCTCCATCTCTCAATCTTTCTGACGCCTTCTAATAGATATGCTGGGGAGTCGTCGTGTTATGCATCGGTTTTGGTCAGTCCTTGTTCAAATTTCTCGACTATTTCCAGCACTGATCAAGTCCGCAGCAAAGAACTTCAAGCACCTTATCGCCTTGCGCGCTATGCAAGGATTCTTCGAATGCTGTATCAGCCCGGGATTTATCCTCATTATCGGAAGTTGGTACACACGCCGAGAACATTCTTCTCGCTCCCTAGTATTCCAAGTTCGTCAGCTAGTTCTCATGTTCCTTTGCTGCGCTTACCTTTTCTCCGCCTAGAGCGCAAATGCAGGATTTGGTACACTCGAGTATAATGGAGAGGACATCCAGGCATGGCGGTACATGTCATATGTACGCCATATCTTTCTTCCGTCCCATGCCTGCTTACTTGTTGGCAGTTCCTCGGTTCGCTCACCGTTGCGGTCGGGCTTCTTTGCCTGTACTTCCTCGGTACTCCATCCGAAGTTCCCTGGCTCACGAAGGAGGAAAAACGGATGGCCAACACTAGGATTCTCGAGAACCAGAGTGGACATGACCGTACGGGTACGAAGTGTGGAAGTGGGACCAAGCTCGGGAGTGTTTGGTCGATCCATGTGTATGTGATTTCAACGTCGAATCTGTTTGTGCCATATTGAGATCGTTTCAGTTTTACTTTGCAGGAATAAACGCCTTTCTGTCGTCGGTAGGCTTACCTCCTTGGTCTGCGGAACTTTGTTGACGCTTATATAGGTGCCTAATGGGGGCCTTACGACGTTTGGAAGCCTCATTAACACCAGTTTTGGGTTCAGTACGTACATTCGTTCGACACCACGACTAACCGTTAATTGTATCCTCGTAAAGCGTCTCTTCAAGTGATCTTGTATACTATCCCTCGGAGTATGACCAGTGTTGTGGTCTTCGTCATTGTTGGATTGGTTCGTACCGCTCTCTGCTCGCCGCCACACGCTGCAGTCAGACTGACATAGCAATAGGTTACTTCAAAGTGGAAGAACCTCCGTCTGTATATCATGGCGTTTGCGACGATTCCTCCATTCATTGGTTTCCTTGGGATGGCTCTCATCGAGACGAGCGTGTCTACAAAGGTCCTCATTTATTTTGTCATTTTACCTGTGCAGTTCTGATACTCTTAACAGTGGACGAAATGGGGGATGTACTACATGACTGTAAGACGCCTTTGAATGTGATGTGCGCATGGCTTGACGAATAACTCTGACAGGTTCCGTTTGTGCTCAGCCTATTCTTGGGGTGGACGCTCATTCCTTCAAATCTTCCCGGACGTACCAAGCGAACAGTGACGTCCTCTTTTACGTTTGTCGGGTGCGTTATCCTCTCTATCTTAGGTGTTACTGCTCAACGTGATCCTGCAGTTACTGCGTCGGAAATATGTGCGGGTCGCAGATATTCAAGACGAAAGATGCCGTATGCCCCTGCCCTCTTTTTCTGATCCCCTCCATAATTCTGTTTTCTAGCCAACCTACACGCCAGGAGTCATGGGATGCAGCATATGCTTCGGGCTAGAGTTCCTTGTCATCGTTGGTTCGCGCAATCTTCATTATCATGATAGAATGACGCTGATTAGGACCCTAATCGTAGCCTGGCGGACGACCCTAGTGTTGAGGAATAGATGTCGGGATAAGGCGATGCTCACGGATGGGCTGACCGAGGAAGAGAGGGAAATGCAGGGAAAGATTAACGGAGAATCCGATATGACGGACTTTGAGAATCCTCATGTGAGTCTTCTCTCATTTCCATACTTAGATGCCTGCTCATCGCGTTAATTAGTTCCGCTATACTCTCTGAGGCAGGGTGTTGACTTAGCATTATTCATAACGACTCCGACACACAACTTGCTGTAAATATGAAGGTTTCATTTTCGTCCTTACAACTACGTGTCGCTTCTTTGTGTCTGCATCCCTCAAGGCTCATGGGTTTCATTGCAACGCTTCTCATCTACCAGACTATACCGAATCGAGAATGCGCTCGGCAGACGCAATCCGGTAATAAGGTCAGGAGTTGTTAGCAAGGAATGCACAAGGCGACCATTCATGAATATCCGAGTTCAACGGTGCGGCGGAAATTAGGTGGATGAAGCGCACCGGGATCCATCGTAAAGAGGCGGGTTGCAGGTTGGACTAGATTTCTGACTTGACGGCATGACAACAATGAGGAACGCGTTCGATTTTTCGTCAGAGCCCCTCGCGACAGCAAAACCAAGTTGGACCTAGCCTAATGAAGAATTTCGTAGGACTAAGGACCTGGCGATGCACGGATACAGTACTCTTACAGAGCTGAGAGTGAACGGAATGCGCACTGACATTGCTTATTATCTAGGTATATAAGCCTGTCGAAGATGCGTGATATTCTTTGTCACTCTTTCGTTGTTCTTTGCTAGGTAGCGGAACCAATAGTGTCAGGAGACTACTTTTGTTATTCCGTCTCAGACTCGCCGAACAAGTCCTACACTATGATGCAAGAAACACCCATTAAAAAGACCAAACCTTCTGTATTGTGAGTTTATTGCTCGTACCTATTGACAGCCGTTTTGTTTTTCATATTATTGCACACAGGAAATCAGGAGAGCTGCCAATTGACAGTGTACCACTGACTGTCGCTGCATCTGAGTATACTCCCGAGCAGTACAGGAAACTTAAACGCAAGATCGATTGGCACCTTCTCCCACTAATGTGGATATGTTGTCAGTGACTATTGTGTACCACCTTCAGTAGCTCATGTTCTCCCTCCATCATTAGACGGTCTTCACGCAGTGGACATGTCGGTGTTAGGTACGTCAAACTCGTTGTTGAGTTCGGATCTGCCGTGACGAGATTTTTACAGGTACTATGGCCATATTCGGTCTACGCGAGATACCGGGCTTGTTGGACAACAATATTCATGGTCAGTGTCATTTATTCAGTGTCGTTACATCATATCTTAAGATTAAAGTTAGGCTTACAACAATTTTCTTTCTCGTTTACATGTGTTCCGAATTTCCATCCAATATAATCCTTCAACGCTGGGGTATGGGTAAGACTTTGTACGTGTCTCCCCACTTTGATAAATAGCGTATCATCAAATTTCTTTCTTATGCAGGTCAATATACGTGGTAAAGAATATTTCACCTCTCGTCATGACGTGTTAGAAGCCCTAACACAGTTTGATAGATATGTTGGGGGGTTGTCGTTTTGTGTACCGGTTTTGGTTTGTCTTCTGAGACTTTCTCGTAGTCATCGTAAAACTGATCTGCTTTCAAAGCCAAGAACTTCAAGCATCTTATCGCCTTACGTGCCCTACAAGGACTCTTTGAGTGTTGTCTCATTCCGGGTTTTATCTTAATCATCGGCGGCTGGTACACCCGGCGGGAACAGTCTTCGCGCATATTAGTATTCCAGGTTAGTCTTCGGTTTCTCTCGTCCTCCCTGATCCGCCGAATTGATGTACACGACTAGAGTGCCGGCTCAGGATTCGGCGTCATCGCCCTTTTGGCCCTCTACGGAATTGGCACAATCGGGAGTGATGGTAAGGGTTCCCAACCGTGGAGGTACATGTCCTATGTATGTACCATCTTCTACTGACTTGCATTGGCTTACTTTTCTGAAGCTCCTTGGCCCACTTACCGTGGCCATTGGTGCTCTTTGTCTTTACGTCCTGGGAACTCCGTCCGACGTCCCTTGGTTGACGAAAGAGGAAAAACGGATGGCTAATACGAGGATTCTGGAAAATCAGAGCGGTCATGATAAGACAAGCACAATAGAGTGGAAGTGGTATCAGGTTCGGGATTGTCTGGTAGATCCATGTGTACGGGCATCTGCCGCGTTCGTTTTGTGTCACTCACGGTTCTGATTTCTTTCAGTTTTATTTTTCTGCTTTTAATACCCTTCTGGTAGCAGTACGATGGCCGGACTTGTCTATTTCGGGTTTACGGGCTAACAGCTCCACAGGTACCTGCCGGCGGTCTCACGGCGTTTGGGAGTATCATCAACGCAAGCTTTGGTTTCAGTACATATCTTTCTGCCAGGATGACCATTAATTTATTTTTTGCCTGACTTGTACAGCACCGCTTCAAGTAATTTTATACAGTATACCGCAGGAGATAGTTTGTGTCGCCAGCTTAGTTATCGCTGGATTGGTATGTCGCAACTCTCTGCATTACTTGAAGTACACCAAGGCGGATGGATAGGTGACGTCAAGGTGGAAAAACCTGCGGCTGTACATTATGGCAATCACAACTATCCCGGCCATCGTCGGATTTCTTTGTATTGCTCTTATCGAGACAAAAGAGTCAACAAAGGTTCGCATTCTTCTAACGTTCGTGCCTGCTGTCCTGGTTTCTGATTACGCCATTTTCAGTGGACAAAATGGGGTATGTATTGCATGCTTGTACGTCAAATATTATTTACTTGCCATTTGCTCAACGACTAGCGATAGACGCCAGCCGTCCTTACTGCAATCTTGGGATGGACACTGATTCCTGCCAACGTTCCCGGACACACCAAGCGAACAGTGACCTCTTCATTCACTTTCGTTTGGTGAGAATAACTACAACCGTTCAAATCTTATCAGTTGTGACTGAAAATGCTCTATAGTGGCTGCGTCGGCAACATGTGCGGATCACAGATATTCAAGTCAAAAGAGGCGGTAAGCGCTATACTCTTTTCTCCTCCGTTTGATAATTTACCTTTGCAGCCAACGTACACGTCTGGAGTTATCGGATGCAGCATCTGCTTCGTGCTTGACTTGCTTGTCATAGTCGGTATGCCAGTTGTTCTTGACCGTCATGAGAGTCTAACTGAACATCTAATGATAGCATGGCGTGTAACTCTCGCTTTGAGGAACAGACACAGAGACAAGGTGATGCGTACGGATGGACTAACGGAAGAAGAACGAAAGACGCAGGGACAAATTAACGGCGAGTCTGATATGACGGATTTTGAGAACACACATGTGAGCACCTTCTTTCCAATGTTCACCTCGTGTGAGCGTTCTGTGCTCATCAATTATGATAGTTCCGATATACTATGTAAAGGTTACGGTGCATGATATATAATTTATGTTATTTTTCATGGATATTTAATGCATAGATTCTCAGTTACTAGTATAAACATGTTCACACACGCTCTATTGTAATGTTAGCCTTTGGATTCAGCATCGAAGGATCAATATTTGGAGGCCTCGGGGCAGGCGAGCGGTAGGTGTCAATGAGAAGCTAACCACGTGGCCGTGAAACGTCGGTGTTTGGCTGCCAAATAACTTTCTCTTTCTGACCACTTCGATGGCCTCAAACCTTTCTTGCTTTTCTCATGCAGCGTCCCTGCTCCTCGTGTAACTTGAGAGTTACATTTTCAGGCATACAAGTATTCTTTTATGAAAGCCGCAGCTGCTGTACATGTCAGAGGTCTTTGCTGGTGGTGCGTATTGTCTTCGATATCGTCAAGGAGTGATGTTAACTCTAAGTCTTGTTGTAGCCTCATGGTGGATGACTGTAGATCCGATGGACGTCGATAGGGTTATACTTATGGGTGTGCTGCTAACTCAAGGTGAAATTCTTATTTGACGCACTTGAAGGACCCACATGTAAGTCATCTCTCAAATTCATACCTAGACATCCGATCCTTATCATGCATAGTAGTTCGAGGATACTCCGTAAGGGACTAGGACTGTTTTGATGACTTCGATACAAGCTGTGATGAGCATATGAAGATTCCAATTGTCATTCTGAATTCCTTGTCAGAAAGTAACTTTAAGATATAGCCTCATGCTGCTCACAGGGTTTATTGCGACGTTACCCATTGACGCCGTAACACAGATAGGGAGACTGATGATCATTAGCATGCTTGGTGCCTTGATTGAATACGAATGATATGGCGTCTACAGTTAGGGATGTGCACCGTACCGTTACGGATACGGCCGTACCCCTGATGGATGGATACGGATACGGATGGACCGTGTCCATACCGTAGGAGCAAGAAAAGCAAGATTCACGGTACGTACGGGTATATGTACGGACGTAACGGCCATATTACGGTCGTAGAATACACTCAAAAGACCTGCATGCTCTCCGCAGCATAATACTAATAGTCATTGTCATCTCCATGTAGAGAAAAGAAGATCTACTATAAAAACAGTCAGTTTCGAAGTCTTTCAGGGAATCAAAGAGACTTACACATCTTGTGTTCATGAATCGCGTGGGCAAAGTCATTTTGGTGGTCTGTATCGTAAGAGTGGCAGTGAGTGTGGACAACAATGGGAACCTAAGCAAGGAATGAGTGAGGTATGCACATCTAATACTCCGGAGTTTGTTGCATCATGCCAGGTGATACGGTACTGGTTTGATTTGTAAAAAAACAGATTGACGACGGGAACTTGCACATTGCTGAGACAAATGCAAATTGTCATAGAGAGAGGGGGACTACGCATGGCTCATTGGAGTAGGTTGGTCAGGTAATTGGCGTACCTTGTACCAGGTTGAATTATTTAAGTTGAAACACTCGACAGATTACCGTGGCAAGCAATTTTCAGATGAGAAAGCGGAAAGGGAGTACCAAAAGTGGCTTCGGTTTCATATCAGTTGCAGCTGCCGTATACGGCCATAACGGCTTGTCCCGTACGGTTGTTACGGGTACTCACCGTACCGTGAACCGTACGGTACCTTGCAGTCTCGCACTCGCAACGGTACGGACCTGTATCCGTATGTGCCATACGTATCCACCGTATTACGGATACGGTGCACATCCCTATCTACAGTGACTTGTCATTGGGATGGAATGTACAAGTGCTAAGATGGTTCTTCTTGAACAAACTAGTTTCATGTATGTGGAAGGGCATAAGACTTCAGCATATGATATGTAGCCACATGGTGATCCGCATATTATATGTCAGAGTACGTTGCCATTCCATCAAACTGTACGACGGAGCGCTATGAGCATGTACATGCTACTAGAGCCTCAAGCCACAGTGAAACACGCTGTATAGTGAAGGATTCAACAACACAATCGCTAGGAAAGGATGCATCCGCCGATACGCAGTAGAAAATGAGTACGGTACGCTGACAGGGCCAAAGTGAACTGAATACATGTTGATACTGCTCATAATTATCTAGGTATATATACATCACTCCATAGGCGCATACCTAGACTGGACTTTTGAGGTTTGCTGAAGTTCTATTATTTCGAGCACCCTGGCCGCTTCCTCTTGTACTCTCTCAATAGCTTTCTCCTGAGTCCAGGTCACAATGCAAAGAACGCCCCCAAGAAATGAAGAATCTCCTGTATCGTGAGTCTGCTCCGTTATGCATCCTAGCAGATATCTCTGTTTGATTTTTACTCGCTGTGATTTTACTAGGAAGGAAGATTTCAAGCTGAGCGATGTACTGCTCGCTGGACCCAGTTTGACCGAGTACACTCCCGAGCAGTACAAGAACCTCAAATTCAAGGCAGACTACTATCTTCTTCCACTCATGTGGCTATGTTGTCAGTGATATTTTGTGTATCACTCTCAGCGGCTGATATTTTATGTTGTTAGATGGTATTCAGTCAGCCGACAAGATAGCATTAGGTACGTCAAGCCCGTTATGCCAGTTCAGACCAATCTTGAAAGGGTCAGGTACGATGGCCGTATTCGGTCTGCGTGAAGACACTGGCCTCGTTGGGCAACAGTACTCATGGTGAGTGCTCCGACTTTTGTCTACCCAATCAAAATTCGAGACTTCAGAATTAGGCTAACAACGATTTTCTTCCTTACTTATATGTGTTTCGAATTTCCATCAAATATTATCCTTCAGCGCTGGAGGACGGGCACGACTTTGTACGTGTTCCCCCTTTTTTTACACACATCATTTACTTTTTTTTGCAGATTGATATACATGGTGAACGATATTTTTCGTCTCATCGTGATATGTTGGAAGCTCTAATGTTGCGTAATAGATATGCTGGGGACTTCATATACAGGATGGTAACGACACTAGTGATCTTCGTCATTGTCGGGCTGGTTCGCACTGATCTGCTCTACCCGCTGCTGCAAAACTGACATAATGACAGGTTACATCAAAGTGGAAGAACCTCCGTCTATATATCATGGCACTTGCGACGATCCCTCCATTCATTGGTTTCCTTGGGATGGCTCTCATCGAGTCGAGTGCATCTACTAAGGTCTTCACTAGTCATGGTTTTACCTGTACCAGTCTAACGCCCGTAACAGTGGACGAAATGGGGGATGTATTTCATGACCGTAAGTTACCAACATATACAATTTACTCAGCCCTTAACCAAATCTTCGACAGATTTCGTAGGCTGAGTAGGTACTTGGGGTGGACGCTTATTCCCTCGAACGTTCCTGGGTGTACTAAGCGAACCGTCACTTCCTCGTTTACGTTCATTTGGTATGTGTTCCTGGTTTCCCTCGATGTTTAATGTTCAACATGCTTTCTAAAGTTTCTGTGCTGGAAACATATGCGGGTCACAGATATTCAAAGACAAGGACACTGTAAGCTTCTGCCTTCTTTAGTGACCCTTCCTAATTTTATTTTCTAGCCAACTTACATGCCGGGCATCATCGCATGCAACATATGCCTCGGGCTGGATTTCCTTATCATTGTTGGTGCATGCAGTCTTCTGTTATCGTAAGACTCACCTTACTTATGAACCTTGTCACAGCCTGGCATATGACTCTGGTATTGTGGAATAGACATCGGGATAAGGCTATGCTCATGGATGGGCTGACCGAGGAGGAGAGAGAAATGCAGGGAAAGATTAACGGAAAATCGGATCTGACGGATTTTGAATATTCTCATGTGAGTCTAATTATTTGATTTTCAGAGATATACAATACTCATAGGGCTAACAGTTTCGGTACACTCTGTGAGGGACTTAGATTGTATATGTTTGTGTAATGATTTTGGATTCTAATATATCTATCATCATCTTGATCTCACCGCGTCCTATGCGACCTATCCTAGTGCACAAGACTTACCTCCTAGGAGCGGGACTTAAGGCCTAAGTACACCCAACTTATTGTAGCTGTGAAATTGGACGCGCTTGGACCGAAACGGAGCAAAAATCCCACGGTGTCCCTTTCCTTCTGACCACCATGTCTGGCATCACCCGACACGTCATTTCCCTCTATTTGCTTCTCAATGCCATCATCTGCTGTATATGGCCTATGTAACGTGATGGCGACGCGACTTCAACATGATTTCGAGCGCCACGGCATCGCCCTCAAAAGGACTGATAGCACGCTTTTGTTAATAGGGCGCGTTCATGATATATCGATGCCTTGATATGGCTATTCCTCTTCTCAGGTGAGTCATGGACCTTGGTTCCCGGCCTGTTCGTTGATGAGATGTATGCATATACAGATACTCGTGTCTAGGTCGTCGCGTCCTCGCCGATCACGAGGTATTGCGGGTCGCTGATCAGCCTTCATCGTCATCACCGTTTCCAGGTTAGAGATCTTAACTGGTACGTCGCATCATATCACACATGTATATGCACCCAACGAGATGCCCTTGCATGCTAGGTGATATCTACATTCACAATGATTAACCTTGTTCCAGACCGCAAGGCCAGCGCAGTTCCTTTTTGCTGCGTAAGGTATCATCCTTCCGATATTGCTCAGTACTGGTGCATGTGGTCGATATACGCAGTTGCGGCTCGACCTGGGTGGGATCCACTCTGGTCGGTTCTTCTCTGTTGACTCGGATCCTTTTAGCTAGATTGACTGATATCGGACAGAATGGTGCGAATGCTGGATTTGGCTTCATCGTTTACGGGGCTTATTGCTGTGCATGATCATTATTGAAGGATGGACCGTCGTTTCTATGTAATGTTGTCCGTGGTGTGTACCCTTGGTTCAGATGTGAGTCGTCCTCACGGTTCCTCGTAACAGCTCGCGTCATCATCGATTCTGCCGTCATGGTCTATGCTTCTGCCAGACGGCAGGCTTGGTGCAGTCCCTGTTTGCCGTGTAAACATATGATACTCACCTGTACGACGCGTATCTCGGCCTTATATCCGGTGTGTGATACCAGTTTTCGTGTGTTCAAAGTCTGATTACTGGGGGTAGGATCATCCTGCAATGCTGAGCACCCCTCGTCTCAGGTTGGAAAGCTTTGCATCCATTTCGAACGTTTCCCTGTGTGTATGAATCGAGGCGCGTGACTCATATATACACCACAGCGTAGACCTCAGTAGGGATCTTCTCCCACCAATTCAACGTCGACCGGTGTGCTTCGGTTTCCAGTCTCGTCCGCCGTATCATCATGTACCGTGGGGTGATGCCAGGGGTGGTTCTCGAGGTCCGTTTGGATAATATAATGCTTCCACAGTCCGGTGGAGAACGGCCTCTGCCAAGACGGGGTGAACGGGCTTGGGATTTTCCTTGGCGCCGAAATGCCGCGGCATTATATGCGGCACAGAATAATACCCTTTCTCCTCCCCCTATCATTGTCGGTTTCTTTTGAATAAGGGCTCCTCTTGTCTTGCTCTCCTCTCCCCTGTGTTTTCATACTTCGTGCCTTCAGAGTTCTTACGAGCGCTGTTCTCTGTGATTGCACCGGAATGGCGGCCCTGCTTTGTGATTCTGCTGACACAAACGGTCCGCGAACATGAGCTTCCTATTTCTCTTTACGGCGTCAACCTGAAGCATCGTCTCTCACGCTCTTTCGGTACCGCAAGTCTGGAACCCTGTGCTTGAGGCATTTTGCGGTCACCCCACCGTGAATTCACGAATCTACATACACAATGACGCCACTCAATCGCCGGACCCCGATACGGAGATATATTTTAGCCGCATATAAAGCTCCAGCGACGAGTGAGTCAGCCAAGGTTAGCCGCTTGGCTTACAAAAACCGCTGTGAAGAATCCAGCTCCCCAGTTCGCGCCCATTGAAGTGCGCTCGCTACGCATCTGCTCCCATCGTCCATGTCTACTTTGGTGACATTTGAGCCTTACGGTACCCTCCCGCTCTCGGCATTTGCGCTCATCCTCGTGGTTGCCAGTATTGGAATATATTGGGTTGTGCGCCGGAATAGACGCAGGAGGATCGATTGGAACGTCGAGATGGTTGAAGCGGGGGAAGGCAGGAGGAGAAAGGGCTCCATCGTGATGATGGTCCCTGTCTTAATAACCGATGAAACTTGAATCGGAAGGTGCGTACAGTCCGTGCTTGTTGGAGGAATCCCTGCTGATGGACGGAGGGAACGGGGTAGGGATAAATATTTTCGGAGGGGAAGGTCGTGCTATCTGCCATTTTTGCGCACCTCCGAAGACTATATCGACATCAACGGGTGTTTTATACCCAATAGTTCAAGATGCCAGTATGCTGGGATGTTTCATTGACGTCCTTCCTGGTCGGAGTCATCCATTGTTTATGCATTTCGTGTTGTATTATATTCTGTATTCTAGCCATGACTGAGAGGGGGATGTCGTAGCAATACGTTGTCTTCAATATGCAAAGAGTTATCTTGTCCCAGCTCGATGAGGGAAGAACAAGGCGCCAGTCTGAATGCCCTCTCCGAGTCGGTACGCGCACGTGTCCGAATCAGGAAACAGATAATTAATATCCGGGGATAAGCGAACAAATAAAATCCCAGACACGACCCACCATCTATATAGCACCACTTTCTTATCGCGCCCATCTTTCACGTCCATCCACATTCATTAGACATGTCTACTGACAAGGCAGCCCGCCGCGCGCGTTTCGAAGGAGCCTGGAAGATTATCAAGCAGGAACTGGTGGACTACATTACCGGTGAGGGGATGCCCAAGGATGCGATTGAGTGGTACGAGAGGGTGAGTGAGCCTTATGGAAAAAATGGAAACGAGCTCATTTCTGAATCTGATAACAGAATCTCGACTACAACGTCCCCGGAGGCAAGCTGAACCGCGGCATGTCCGTCGTCGATACCGCCGAGATCATCAAGGGGACCCCGCTGACGGACGATGAGTACCTCAAAGCTGCGGTGCTTGGCTGGGGCATCGAGCTCGTGCGTCGAACTGCCCGTTATCTCCCGTGCTTGCCTTTCTAACGCGTTCGCTCGCAGCTCCAAGCCTTCTTCCTCGTCTCGGACGACATGATGGACTCATCGATCACGCGTCGAGGTCAGCCCTGCTGGTACCGTGTCCCCAAAGTCGGCCAAATCGCCATCAATGACTCGTTCATGCTCGAAGCTGCGATATACTACCTCCTCAAGAAGCATTTCCGGGGGGAGAGCTACTATGTCGATATTCTGGAACTCTTCCTGGAGACGACGTTCCAGACGGAGATGGGGCAGCTTATCGATTTGATCACTGCACCGGAGGATGAGGTTGATCTGAGCAAATTCTCACTGAAAAAGTACGTGCTGTGTCCGTTGATGTCGCGCTTGTTTTTGACTGTTGTATGAAGGCACTCACTAATCGTGATCTACAAAACCGCATACTACTCCTTCTACCTCCCCGTCGCGCTCGCCATGTACATGTCGCACGTCCCACAATCCTACCCATCCGGGAACCAAACCATTGAGCCCTACGCCCTCGCCAAGTCCATCCTCATCCCCCTCGGCGAGTACTTCCAGATCCAAGACGACTTCCTCGACTTTTCCGGCACGCCCGAGCAGATCGGGAAAATCGGCACGGATATCCTCGATAACAAGTGTTCGTGGTGCGTGAATACAGCTCTAGCGGTGTGTACCCCCGAGCAGCGGAGGGTTCTCGATGAGAATTATGGGAGGAAGGATTCCGAGTGTGAGAGGAGGGTGAAGGCCGTGTTTGAGAGTCCCGAGGTGGATTTGAGGAAGAGGTATGGGGTGTATGAGGAGAAGGTTTACGGTGAGCTTATTGCGATGATTGGGGAGATCCCGGAGGTTGAGGGTAAGAGCACGTTGAAGAGGGAGGTCTTTAAGAGCTTCCTGGATAAGATTTATAAGAGGACCAAGTAGGGATTTAGTGGTAGTGTAAAGTCAGCTGTATCTTTAGATATCGAAAGGCATGGTGTGCAATTATACGCAACTGCTAAAGCGTAAATTGTTCTTTACAATAGTTTACATGGGCACGTGGAATTTTGCGAGTGCGCTTGCTTGAAGTGTGCGCCGGCATGTGTTGTCACATCCAGTAGCGGCAGTTTCCGGGTCCCCGATTCTCGCCCGTTGTATGAAGAACCCAAGAGGGAGGCGGCATTCAAAATAGACACATAGGATAAGGGGGAGGGGGGAAAGGGGTCCCAGCCCTAAACACAAAAGTGACTTGTCTTATATAACACTGTAGGACTTGGCTGAAGGCCTGATTGATGCTCATTTCAATGGCTTCAGATGAATATGATTATTCTGAGGTCCAAATACTCATCTTAGGGATGCCCACCATACCCGTTGAAGAGGCTCTGTGTGCCAAGCTAGAAATGCACTAGTGTATAAAACACTAACACACCCACACCCACCCACCCACCCACCCACACAAACCCTCAGTAGTTCAGGGGAGATGTGCAATACAAGCACACAATAACAGTAGTAGTGAAAGAATCCTTGCACATTACAATATATAATAGCACGCTAGCAATATAATAATTCTCTAAGTCCAAATGCTTTTGGAACAGGAGGTGAGCAACAGAATTGCTCAGCCTCAAGGCAAAAGTATTATTTGGCAAAGCCCACAAACATTTCACAAGAATGTACAACCCTCAAAATACATTGTGTGCAACACACAAGTGTCCACAACATTCACAATACACTTAGACACGACTTAAAGCCTTGCACTCTAAGCAGAAAACACTTCAAAACCTGTTTGTAGATCCACAGGGTTCTAACCTATGTGATCCAGAGATACACAAACACAGAAACACATCCACAAGCCACAGGATTTGAACCTATGCCACTTGGGAATAAACCAAAAACCCCAGAGATTACTGACAAGCCAAAGGGTTTGAACCTCTGCCACTTACAGTAACTCAGAATTCACAAACAAGTCCCAAAAACACAAATGCACATTCAAGTTATCACAATACAATATTCTCTAAGTAGAGCGCAATCAATTACTGTACTTTAACTTAAACAATTCAAGCACACTTGAGCAAGGCATGCCTTGTGAGCTCTCAAAGTGTTCAAAATAATTCTAAGTCCAATAATATTCTCTTGCTCGAAGCTCCAAATAAAATCCTTTTGTCATACACTAAGCATGCTGCTTTGTAGTACAATTGCAGGGGTATGAAAGCTTGCTAACTACCTATAACTACCACTCTTATATTTACCATTAACTATATGAAATGTAAATACTGAAAATAGACAATGCTCCACCTTGGACTCCCTTCCCTTGCATGCCATGTCAGCTGCAGTGATAGTAATCATTATTTTTATTCAGCACTCTGTGTCGGCACACATGCCACCACTGTTTTCTCTACTTGACAAGGTCTAGCCTCATCATGCCATGTGGCATGTGTCTTCTTATTGGCTTCACGGATTTAATTCCAGTGCTGTGCAACTTATCTAGTGAGCGAGATTTATTTTATTGGCTGCTATGCAACCATTTCTAATTCTAATATTTCAGCAGGGTACAGGGTTTCATTTCTCTTTGGCTGAGAACTCCTCAGAGTATTTGGACTTGGTGATTCTTTGTTCAGAATGATGTTTTCTCAGTGATTGCCAGATCAGCAGGGTTCGTGCATCATAGATCAATGTAGCATGAAGCACCTTTAATATATTATATCTTCAATGAATTTAATTGAGTGATACACTGCTGAGGAGTGCACAGTGTGTGAGTATAAGCACTGAGACTTCACACTTAAATGACACAAGTGTGCTGCTCTAAGTCTAAGCCATGCACTCTACTCATATTATATTTTATTACATTGCATCTGCCTCAGTGTGTAGTGCTCTATGCTGCAGTCTAATATTATACATAGGGTATGCACATGTTTGTATTCATAGAATTTGCAAAATTACATGTGTGAATGCATTGCATGCATGTCATATAAAGAGTCACACAATTGTCTATCCAGGTACACCTGGACCTATTATGGTCAGACCTGCAGCTTCAGTACCCCATCTGTCACCCCCACCCACACCCAGATACTGCTCCACCTGGGTGCTACAGGTACAGGTACAGATCTTACATGAGTGGATCAGTTATAGTATAGAAATTTTTAATTATCAATACTATTAAGATAAATTGTCTACATTAAATACATTGAGCCACTGACTCACTCATCCTGGTTGAGACTCAATGCTGGGCTATCATAGCCCTCATCAGTGGTATCCTCCTCAGACTGGTATGCATTGGCCCCCAAATCATCGTAAGAGTCATCATAAGCATCCAAATATCCGTGGTCATATCCCACATTGTAGCTTGCTGGATAATCTCTGATATCATAATTCATTGTCTCATTCCTCTAACATGGTGTTGTTGACCCTCAGACTCTTGATCCAGTCTGAATATCCATGGTCAAAGGGCTTGTCATCATAGTTAGACTCTCTCCCATTGTAAAGGCCCACATTGTTGCTGGCTGCGATGTTGAGGAGGCAGACAGCGCATGAGAATAGGGCCACCTGGTTATGAGGCTACTGTCTACCTTCAGCGGTGACATCCTGGATGTTGAAATACCAAGACTTGGGGAGAGTGTATGTTGGAGAGCTTGTCTATGCTCCCTGGATCCAAATTTGAGTGCATCGCCTGTTTCCACAACAAAATGCCCTCCATCTGAGGGATTGGAGCAGCATCAGGTAGCCTTCCAGCTGGCTGGAGCTCTGCATGAGGCATATACAGCTCCTGTGTGCAGGATTGATCCAATCCTGTCCCAAGGTCATAGTCGACAGCATAGTCAGATGAAAGGGCACGTTGCCTCTCTTAGCTGGAATTATTGAGGACGTATGTATCTGCTTCTGAGGTTGTCAAAATGCCAAGGGAAAGGAACGTATGTTAGGGAGCCCCATCAATGCTCCCTGAGTTGAAATGAGTAGTTTTCAATGCCCTCTGACCAAAATGACCCTCCATCAGCAATATTGGCATCTCATCCCATATGCGTAAGGCCTTCCCAGGTCTCAGAAGTGTTGTCATTGTCCTTTGTGCATGAGATTAGCTCCATCATGTTTGATCTAGCAATGGAATCCCCTGGTTGCTGACAGCTGATGGTGTCACTAGAGGTGAGAGGGAAAAGTGGTAGAGGGTCTCTGACAAGAGCAGGAGAAGGCTTCAATGTTGCTAGCCATACTGTGCTTGACAATGGTTTAGTTACTGACTGGTTATTAATTGGACTGGCATCCATCAGACCAGTAACTGGTGCTGACATGGCCTTTGTGCTGGGCATCCCGTCTTCACAACTTGCCCCCACCATCTTGATTCTACAACTGGCTTATGGCAGTGCCCTTTCTTCCCATCACTGAGCTTCACTCTCTTTCCTCATAACACCTCATTATTGGATACAGAAGACTAATCTAGCCCTACAACATGCATGCTGGTACTCCTGAATGGCCTCATTTTGGCATTTGGAGTGGATGGAGCAGTGTGCAGCATTTGAGATAGATCAAGGTTGTATAATGTAGTGTCAGGTGGATCTGCAGAATGGTATGTGGATGTAGAAACCTTGGTGGCTGGCAAGGGCTTGGAAATGTTGCAAAGTAATTGTTGGGTGCATGAATGTAGTATTGCATGAGACATAGGCTAATGAGCTCATTTTTAAACTCTTGCTGACCAGCAGAGGTGTGGGTGTCCAGTACTTTTAGGCCTGACTCAGTCAGAGCTGTCATAGCATAGTCAAAGAATATACAATCATGAAATCCTGGTACCTCATGAAACAAGGCATGATACCCACCCTTGGCATTCTTGCTGGTAACATCACACAGGTCCGTGTAAAGAGTACATGATGCGACCTGAGTCATGTTATGATCTGGGTGCTATTTTAATTTTGATGACTCATGTATTTTAGTTATGATTCTTGATGACACCTTCATGACTCACATATTTAATTTGAAGTAGTATATAAAGCTTGTAGATCAAGAGAAATATAACTTCTTCTACCCTAACTTGTGTGATCTCAAAACTAAGTAGGACCTGAGTCAGGCCTGAGAACACACTAACTTGGCTAGTTCTAAGTTCTAAGCCTTCTCTTAGCCTTCTGTATTGAGAAATACTAGTTACTTACACACCACTGATCGATAATCCTGATACGTCCGTCAAGAATAATGAGAGTGATCTCAATTGAACTTAAAGTCTAGTAAGTGAATCTCTAAAGGGCTTTACAGTGGTGGACACATTGGGAATCACTCCCTCTTGACTGACAAATTGCTAGCTTAACACAATACAACTCATACAACACTAAGATGTCCAATAATCATCCAGAATCTTCGAGCGCACGTCCCTTTCGAAGTGCAGGACCATACATAGCTCACATCACTCGAACGGGCATGCAAGAAGGCTTCAAAAATTCACCCATGTTCAAGATCCTCACAGACTACAACGCTGAACACAATGAAGTCAAAAACTCTACCAAGTATCGAGTGATGTATTACAGCAACTTCGATTTATCCCCTGTAGATATACAAGACCTTGGATTCAATCGTTTTGCAGACAGACCCCGATACTCCTTACAGCCTGCCATGATCACAGCAGTGAGCTCTACAGTCATGGAACTACAGTCCTTCATTCTCTCCACAGCATCTCTTCTTGCAGAAAGGGACATAATATACCAAATTGACCCTAGTCAAATGTTTATGAATGTTCTTCATGGAACTAACAATATTCACTTACTTAACGCAGCGTGAGTTGGACTTAGGAAGAGGTTAGACCGGGGAGACCATTTCCTTCATAAATATGCTGACCAGTTCAAGAACATAGATCATCCTATGTCTCCTGTTTCCATGGATCTGGGAATTTACAGCACATTGGAAGGATACAAGGACCCCTCAATGCGCATTTACCAATCTTTACACATCCTACCATCTCAACGTCAAGTCCTGACTAATGAAGGTTGTGCCACCTTAGACAAGGGAGAAACGAGATGGGAGGAGTTAATCCCTCCTAGCATACCCTTGAAGAAAGCCTTCAGCTCTACTAATCCTGAACGAAACCCTGCCAGTTCTATGAGATCACGAGAGTCATCAGCCTCATCCTTAAGGGTGTCAAGGAGTACGCAGCCAGGAGAGCTAGGACAAGTCCGGGAAGAAAAGAAAGAAAAATCGGAGTTAGAAGCGCAAGATACTAAACTCATACCGACAAAAACATGGGTGCAAACTCAAAAAATGGCTTCATTCAAACCCTTATCCATAGCCTCCTCAATATCGATGAACATCCACACTCCTTTCAAGAGCACGGCTCGAGAATTCTTCAATTCTCCGTCGACTCTGGCTTCCTCTCTTTTCAAGGAGTTTGATCTAGGAGGACCAAGTATCAGCACCGACTTTCCAAGAAGACTCCAAGGATTAGGAAGTAAATTACCGGTTGTAGAAGAGATCAATTCCAATGATGAAGAACAAGAAGTAGATCACTTACTAAGGCCCCAGGAGTTCTCGATAGAAGAAAGCCAAGAAAGCTCTGTGGAACTGGGATTCTCTGGTGGAAATCAAAGTAAAGGGAAAGAAAAGGCAGTATTTGTCTACCCTTCAACTTCGAACGTTCCCCCTTCCTATAACACTTTTGAGTGGGGGGCGAGTTCCTCTCCCAAGCCACGAAGTGCTCACATCAGTCCGGTTCCCTCTACGATCAGTCCTGTAGCATCTCCATCAAAGCTGCCAACCAATCCCGGGTCTTCATCCGACTCAGAAGACGATTCTTCTTCCAAGAGGTCCAAGGGGAATAATGCCTATTCGCATCATAGTCGATCCAATGTGAGTATAGTGGGGAGTAACTCACCGCCAGGCCAAGGACCCCCTAGTCCCCCTTCTCCTCCTTCACCTAGTTCTTCGGACAATGGTACAGAAGACGACAAAGATGAAAGGAGAGGGAGAAGGGGAGAATGAGGACACAGAGGTTATCCAGGAGAACAGGGTCGTACGGGAGAACAAGGAGAGCAAGGAAGGACAGGACCTAGAGGACGAAGAGGAGATCATGGATCTCCCGGGCCTCCTGGTCCTCCTGGTCTGCCTGGTCTGCCCGGTCCTCCTGGGAATGGATTACCAGGAGCAAATGGGCAACCCATAGATCTGTCCCTTCCAATTATCAAAGGCGAAATAAAACCTGAAAGTCTACCTACCTGGGATGGCAATGCATATACTGCTATACCATATTTTTGGAAGGTAAGACATCTGGCCGGTCTAGGGGGGTGGATGCCAGAGTACCTAGGTCAATGGTTATGGCGTGGACTTAAAGAAGACTCCGAAATTTACGCATGGTTTTCAACTCTCACACCGGAAGACCAAGATTACATGAGGCTTAATGTGAGTAATTTTATCAATGTCATTAAAGAAGAGTTCCTAGGGGATCAATGGCAGATTCTTATGAATGATGTCTTCGAAAATCAATGATTCCGACAGAGAGGATTCGAAATGGAATCTCCACAAGCGTTCATCATGAGAAGAACTGTATACACATGCATGCTTACTCAAATCAATGACGGAGGGTTACAGGAAATAACCATTGTTATGAGAAAGGCCCCAATCGCTTGGCAGCCTATACTCAATATGTCAACAATTCAGACGTCCAAGCAATTGTTAGCCAGGGTCATTGAGCATAGTAAGGCCCTTGTCTTAGCTGCTCGAAGTGACGGGGGAACCTCTAGGATTCAAACGGGCGAACTGATAACAGCCCTAAAGTCATTAGGAATAGATGCTCCTAAACGACCTCGTTTTCTTCCCTCTTGGTCCGTGAACTTAGTTGAAGAAGAAGAGGACCTGCGGACTGATTTATTGGGGGAAATGGAAAGCTCAAAAGTAACAGCTTATGAAGAAGACTTCCATGAAAACAACTTGTCAGAACTGTTGCTGAAATCTGCTCTTCAAATTCTAAAAAAAAGACAGTGTCCTCCTCCGAAACAGTATTATTTTCCAATGAGTGATAAGGAAACCAATTTGGATTGTCCCCCTCCATCTCCCTGCAAGGTTTGTAGGAGTCCTAAACACTGGGATAAGGAGTGTCCCTACTGGGAGAAATACCTGGAGAGAGTAAAGAAGAGAAATGCGCAACTAGCAACCTTGCAGCTAGAGGACTCAGCCAGTCCTCAAGACATGTATCAAACTGCCTTCCAGGTTCTCACATCTGACCAGAACTATGATCTTCCTTTGACTCAAGAAATGGATTCTAGTAACATGCAGGATTTTGGAATGGCGGCTCAGAATGAATTGAAGGAGGGGACTGAAGAAGTTCAAGCCTTGAATTCCGAGCGTAAGACCGATGTTCTGTTCATTAAAGAAGCTAACCTTGTAATAGGGAAGGAGACCCAACCACCCTCGTCAGAAGATCCACCATCGAATAATTTCACTATCCCTTCAGAACTAAAATCCAAAAGGCTAACAAAATGGAGGCAAACAAAACCTGGATTGTCAGTGGCCAGGATTTCCATACTAGCCATCCGAGGTTGGGTAGGTAGCCTGAGGAATTCCCCCGTATCCATCCGACATGATTCCTGTGCGGACATTTTGCTCATTTCTTCCGACTACTATCGTTCGCTATTCAATCCCCCTCCTATTAAAAGAGGAGCCCATATGAATTTATGGCAACTCACAGATAAGGATGCAGAAATCAAAGGATATATCACTATCCCCATCCTTATGCTTTCCACAAAAGGAGAACTCATTGAAACGGAGGCTGAAGTTTATGTAGTTCCGAAAATGACTGTACCAATTCTTCTGGGAGAAGACTATCAGTCTTGCTACGAGTTAACGGTGAAGAGGCTGGCTGTGGGCACCTGTGGAATAGTGAGCGGGCTAAAAGGCGAACCTCAAAAACCCACACACACACTCACACAACTACACAAACTACAATCACCCTCGTAAGTTCTAGGGGGAGCGATTATTTCTAATGTGATCCAACTATACTTCAATATCTCGAAGAGTTTCTCTTATTCTCAGCGCTCTTAGCGAAGCTAAGCTTTCTCTAATGAATTCCTGAGTCTAGGAACTTTTTACAGGAAGGTCGTTCACTGGCACAATGCAACCTTCAAGGCAGATTTGAGTTATAATACACCAGGGACACTGATCCCAACAGAAATAGAGGCAATACACGCTGAAACTTTAGTGAGCTTGCTAAAAGAACACCACAGGCAAGCACTGACTTAGCCCGCTCGCTACACAGCTGTATGTAGGGGTTCTCCAACTAACTCCAGCAGGTTATCTCGACTTAAGAACACTTCAGAAGTGCTCGGAAAACAGATTCAGAAACGGAACTTCGAACAGAACTGACATGGAACAGACTGAAACAGAACAGAACAGAACAGAACAGAACAGATCTCAGATTTCCACTTCAACACATTCTCCGAACAGACTTATCACACTTAACAGAACAGAAACAGCGTCACTGATTCGTATTCACTCTGACTAAGTTCTCAAAAGTCTTATCAAAAGGGTATCTTGTATTTCTCTGAGTGAGCTCGCTAATTCTATGCACAGCTCGAAGTCACAAACTGATCCTTTGTTACAGTACCGCCTTCAACGTGTGTACAGGAACTCGGGGGCTCAAAACTTGCCTCTACCTACTGTAACCAGCCTACTTATACTACAGGGGAATTAGAATTACAAACATCATGCAGTACCCAGACTCCTACATGCGTAGCATGTTGCCACCGCCGCCTTACTGAGCATCCGAGTCGGACTTCCCAGTTTTAGTCTCATTTCTATAGTGAGCTCACTAAATGCATGCCAAGAGGTGCTCTCCTGACACCCGTGGGCTTGTTCTCTAGCGACCGACAGGTCTAGGTGCATGGAACTATCAGTTCTGGCATATGTCGTTCAGGACTTCTTTCTTGGATTCACAGAGGCTTCTCGTAGACACGGCAACAAGTGAGTCTTCGAACAATGGGACTCAGAACAATGGAACGCAGGCTCGCGGACTTCGGCCAAAGCCCATTGCCCAAGCTTGTGCCGGTGATATCTGTCAGCTCGCTTAAGGATTTCCCCAGATTTTCAGGTATGGTGCGTCACAGTTAGTGAGCGCGCTAAGTGTTCTCAGTGCCAGTGCAATCTTCAAGGTTTTATCTAGCTCCCATGAGTGTGCTTGTAAGTTAGAGCCTAAGGCATCGGGTATAGGGTTTGGCCTTCTCATCACGCATGCCCATCAGGTACAGTGCTGTGACTAAGTCCTGTTTAGAATCCCGTTGCTTCTTATGCCATAAGTTATATTCCATATCATTGCACCACGTAGCATTAGTGTCGACGCGTAGTTTTAGTCCGCTCGCTCACTATTTCTCAGTATGCATGTAAAACACTCTAGATTGCAAAATTACATGCGTAAATAGGCTGCAGTCGCAACAACGGTTAAAAGAAGCTTGAAGGAGGGAAATCGAATCCTTTATCATGATCGAGATGAATATTCGGTATCCACTAGCCAAGTCAATAAGAGCCAGGAGTTCAGTCGCTTACGAGCTAGTGTCCAAGCTATAAAGAGTTTTGTCAAAGCCAAAAATCATAGAAGGGAGAAAAATAGGCATAAAAGATGCAGGCTCCGAGAAATACATCTAGAGAAAACGGTTAGCGCAAGTGAAGATGTGCTCATAGCACCACACACTTCTAAGCTTGTGCCAATACAAGGACTGTTTAGTCAAGAGGGGGAATGGGTAGTTGAATGAAACTTACTTCCAAGTTCCCCTACCACCTTCTTTGCCGTGCTGAATGTTTTAATCTCGTCGGAAAGTCCAAAGGTTCCCTTGATCAATCCCACTGACTTTCCTAGATATATAAGGAAAGGGGAAGCTATAGGCTCGGTCATTCGTGCAAAGGAATTCTTTGACTGTCCCAAATCTGAGGAACATGAGGAAAGTATGGAAAAGATGGCTTTACTCATGAAATCAATAGTGAACTTCTCCCTCGATGAACCTAGCAATGACCCAGATGATGAACTTGGGCCCAAGACTGCTGCCATACCGGACTCAGCTAATTACCCTTCATCAAAAATGAAGGATCTTTTAGATGTTGGGGACTTACCTGAGGAACTATCGGAAAAAGCATAGAGCATGTTAGAGAGGCACATAAACGCTTTTGGGTTCAACGGACGTCTTGGGCACCACCCAGCCAAAGTCTGTATATGAACAGAACCTGGGATGTCTCCTATTAGTCTTCTCATGTATTCATCCTCACCAGCGAAAAGAGAAATCATTGACAAACAAATCGATTCTTGGTACGAACAAGGGATAATTGAACCTTCAAAAAGTCCTTGGGAGGTGCCAGTAGTGATTGCCTATTGAAATAGTAAGCCTCGATTTTGCGTGGATTATTGAAAACTGAACACCGTTACCATTCCAGACGAGTTTCCCATTCCATGCCAATCAGATATTCTTGCAGCCTTGTCTGGTGCTCAAGTCCTTTCCAGTCTCGATGTGCTCTCGGGATTCATTCAGCTAATGTTGCATGAAGATGACATTGAGAAAACAGCGTTCCGATCACACCAAGGGCTATTTCAGTTCCGTAGAATGCCTTTCGGGTTGAGGAATGGACCCTCAATTTTCCAATGAATAATGCAGGGAATCCTCTCACCGTATCTATGGATTTTCACCCTAGTTTATATAGACGACATAGTCATCTATTCAAAGACTTTTGAAGAGCATATTGATCATCTAGACAGGGTGTTACAAGCAGTAGAAGAAAGCGGCATAACCCTCTCACCGACAAAGTGTCATCTATTCTACTCCTCAATCCTCCTTCTAGGCCACAAGGTCTCGAGGCTTGGACTTTCTACACATCAAGAAAAGGTTAAAGCTATTAGTGAGCTGGAAAGACCTATGAAAATATCCGAACTTCAAACATTCATCGGCATGTTAGTATACTTCCAAGTCTTCATACCATTTTTTGCAGATCGTATGGGACCCTTATTCGAGCTATTACGGAAGGGAGCGAAATGGCATTGGGGCATCGAACAAGAGTACGCTTGGTTGAGCGGAAAATTAGCTCTACAAGAAGCTCCAGTGCTAGGCCATCCGATTGAAGGTCTTCCTTACCGTTTGTATACTGACGCTTCCGATGTAGCTTGTGGATGCACCCTACAGCAAATTCAAAAGATCAGGATTAAGGATCTGAAGGGTACGAAAGCATACCTCAATCTTAAAGCTTCCTGGGAAAAACAGGAACCTATTCCGAGGCTGTTCAACAAGATCAACACAAGGAAGGAAGAGAATGTGTACTCACAATCATGGGTGGAAATTTTCGAGGACTCCAAAGTCTGGACGGAAAGAGTGATAGGTTATTACTCAAGAAGGTTTCAAGGGGCTGAAATATGCTACTCCGCCACAGAAAGAGAAGCCCTAGCAGTGAAGGAAGGGCTGACAAGATTTCAGCCATTTATAGAAGGTGAAAAGCTCACCCTGATTACAGACCATGCCACTCTCCAATGGGTGAAAACATACGAAAACTCAAACAGAAGATTAGCATCATGGGGCACCGTATTTTCTGCTTATGCTCCAAACCTGGAGATTGTTCACAGACCAGGAGGCAAACACTCAAACATTGACCCATTATCACAGTTGCCAAGAGAGCCTCCTGAACACATATCCCCAATGGAATTGGAAGAAAGATCATTGACCCTGAAGAACGACTTAGCAGAAGCTCAAGAAAACAAGCTGAAAGCTATTCCAGCCAGAAGAGTTGAGGCAGTATGGGCAATGCAAGATGCGTTCGCTATCACAAGAAGCCAGAAACAGAACGGCGAGGATGCTGATGCAGGGGGGGTAAGCTCGAAGAAAGCCAAGAAAAAAAGCGCCAAGACGCCTTGCCAGAAGACGGGGAAATCAGAATCAGGAATCCAGAACATCAGACATGAGGACAAGGAAAGGAATCACGGGACGGACAGAACCAAGAAAACCAAGGTCCCGGAAAGCGGGTCTGAAATAATAAACCCGGATAGTCAAGCAACCGAAGACTTATGGGAAGCAATGAATTCCCCGATCCTGACTATACATATAGTTATGGAAAAAGATTTGAACAAGAGGTTCATAGAAGGTTATAAAGGTGACTTACAGTTTTGTACAATATACTGGGAAGCATCTGAGGCAGAGGACTCCAGATCCTTAGGAAAGAAGTTCATGAAAGATGAACAGGGTCTGCTATTCTTTTTAGACGTGGACTTTCAACCTCGATTATGCATCCCCAATTCTCTAAGGAGGGAAATACTTGAAGAAGCGCACGAATCTCTGATGGAGACAGCTCACTTGCAAGTAGAGCAGCTATGGTGAAAACTTTCCTCGAAGTTCTATTGGAGACGTATGAAGGTAGATGTAGAAAAATTCTGTGAGACCTGTGATGTCTGTCAGAAGACGAAATCCACCAACTTCAACAAATTCGGTCTACTCATACCTAATCCAATTCCATCAAGACCTTACAAATCCGTATCAATGGACCTCATCACTGACCTTCCCTGGTCCGAGGGATATAACACAATTTTTGTCATAGTAGACCGGCTCTCCAAGCACGCTCAGTTCATTCCCACCACGACAGGATTGGATGCTGAGGAGTTTGTGTTAATGTTCACTAAGAATGTCATAACGAAATACGGCATACCCTCGAGCATAGTGTCAGATAGGGACCCGAGGTGGACGTCAGATTTTTGGAAAGGAGTGGCAAAGTACTTGAAAATTAGAATGGCCCTATCTTCTTCTCATCACCCTCAGCACGACAGACAGACTGAAATCGTGAACTGTACTTTGGAATCCATGTTATGGGCTTACATAGCTGAAGACAAGATGCAGTGGTCCCAGTGGTTATATCTATTGGAGTTCACCTATAATTCACATGTTCATGCATCAATGGGTACTTCACCGTTTGAACTGTTACTAGGATTCCTACCATCGTCTCCTTTAATGAGGCTGAGCCCAGTCTTAGATAAAGAAAGTCCGGGTGGGTATGCAGTGTCCCCGAATGTAAACGAGTTCATTTCTAAATTGCAAATTCACAGAGAAAGCGCCCGAATAGCAATAGCGAGATCCCAAGAGACTCAAGCAAAATATTATAATAAAGGAAGGAAGCCTGCACCTGATTTCGAACCCGGAACCCTAGTACTAGTAAATCCGCATAGTCTAGAATGGAGAGAGAGCAAAGGTAAAGGTTCAAAGCTGGTACAGCGGTGGATCGGGCCATTTGAGATACTGGAGAAAGTTAATCTGAAGGTGTACCGACTCCGCATGAGTGACAGCTACCCCAGATTTTCGATCTTTAATGTGGATCATTTGAAATTGTATCGCACTAGCCTGGAAAACTGGCCTAATCGAATGCGACTCCCGGAAACCAGAAGAACGCACTCTAGGGAAGAATATGAAGTGGAAGGACTCGTCGGTCATAGAAAAAAGAGCGGTTGAACAGAATATTTAGTGAGATGGGCAAACTACGGTCCTCAGTTTGATACTTGGGCCACAGCCACTGACTTGAAGAATTCCCCAGAGATTCTAAGGGAATATTGGAGGGTGCATCAGCTCTGAGAAGGTACACTTCAAATGGGGCTAATCAACCTTACCTAATAGTTCCCAGGCCTCATAACATCATGATTCTTAAATTATTTTAACTTGCCTTTGACGAAAACCCTTCATCTTTTCTTGACCTCCTCATGTCCTACACGAGGAGTCCTAGCTACTTGAATCATTATGACTCCGAAACTTCAACTCCGTGAACAGTCTAAGGATTACTAGGGATGACTTGACACCTGCCCAGGGATATATAAACCAGGTAAGAAAGAAATGTTGACCCAGATTCTTAGCCTTAGCTTTGAACTATAGTGAAACCCACGAACCTTGATTGTCATGACGCAGTACTTCCTCTCTTGTCGCGATGGGTCCGTCCCTCCCAGTGAAATCATTAGCCAGTCTCCTCTCATTCAGGCCTACAACATGCCTCATCACACAAATCCCTTTCCCTTCATCTATAGTACTGATCCAGTACCTCTCTCTTTCGAAGAAAGCACCCTCTTGGCTAACGACTTGAGCCACATCGATCTGAACCCCTCAGAAATGAAGAGACCAGTCAGCTTCAATATTGACCATCCTTGGAGACCCTTCAGATTCTCGCAAGACTCTCCCAAGGTCCGTGGATGTTTGACCTAGTGGGGAGGTTACCATTGCAGCTCACTAGGGCGGGTGAGAAGGGTGTGATGTTTAGAAGAAATTGGGTCAAAGAAGTTGTCAAGGATTTTAGGGACGCAAAGGAGTGCGTCGAGCTGGTCACGAAACACCCATGGTATGTTCCAAAGTCAACCTTACCACGTCTCTTCAACATAGAGCTTCTTTGCTCAGTCTACCCCTCCCCCGAACAAGCTCAGAAGGTATGTTCCCTGGCCATCATAGTCATGGGAGAGCTCCTCACCTTCCTGAATCACTGGAGAATCATGGTTGGCATCGACTGGGCCTCCAACTTTTCTTACACAGCCCATTCCTTCACTCGACGTTTGCAACTACCCTTCCTTCCTACCTGAGGCGCAGTGTTCGATGCTCATGACCCTCTTCACGGGTTCTTTATTCAAAGAGCCGTGAAGAACGGGAGTCCGACCTTCATCATCAACTTCACTCTGGACATGCGTGACATTACTCGCTTATTACGTATCAATAACGAGCTCGTACAAACTTACCATCAAGCCAACGAAAGGGCCCACACCATTCTTTCCACCGAAGAGGTTCCAACCCTGATTCCCTTCATCGACGCCTTCTGAGAATCCAATACTTCCCTTCAAACGGTTCAACAGATAAGAAAATCAGTAGATCCACCTTTCATTCATCCCAACTCCTTGGTCTATCTTCGTATACCTAACTGGGCACCTATCCCGTTGAACAAAAGGTCGTGGCTGCTGATGAGGTGGACTAACGAGTTCGAGGTAGTAGCCCATGACAATGGGGAAGGACGTTCCATAATCCACTTCCTCTATGAAAAAATCATAGAATGGACACCTGGTTCTCCTTCCAGCCGGAAAGCTTGGCTTCGTCTCGAGAGCGCTCGCGTCAACAGTTCCTTGGATGAAATACAATCGTTGGCAGAACGTCACATCTCCACACACAGCCCTGGGTTTGACATCTTGGAAATTACTCCCTGGTTACAATTCCCTTACACTAAGATAGCGCCATATCCATCAGACGATGAAGCAGAGATCGACCTTGTTTCTCCGAATCTCTATCCCAAGGCACCTGAGAAGGCGCTGAACATAGTCAAGATGGAACCAACAGAAGAATTGACTTACCCATTCGAGGAGGTAATGGTCAATTCAGAATTGCCTGTACCAGGACCAATAGCTGGTGCTTCCTCGTTACCTCATGAGGTCGGGTGCTTAACTGACGTGCCCTCTGATGCATCAGAAGATGTCACCCAGAAAATCGAAGAGATATTTGGTAGTCCTTCGCAATCCGTAGATTTGAGCTCTATGAAATCCTCTTCACATGCATCAATGGCCTCCCATCTGGAAGCCAGAATTAGCTGGGCTTCTCCTTACCAGATTCGAGATCCTAGGAGGATAATGGCCAGGATGGCAAGTTCCCCGGAGTTCGAGCAAAGGTCAGCTAGCTCTCGAAGTCTGATTATTAAAATAACTGACGAAGGATCTAGCACTTCTAGTCCTCCTACCTCCCATTCTTCTGATGCGACAGTGGAGCACTATTCTGCAGCTGAGTCGTTGATCTCTCAAGTAAGTGAGGAGTTGGATCGCCCTCACCCTATCCTCAGCGGTCTCTTCCCTTCTTACCGGCGACAGCATGCCTCAATTGATACCATTGCTCCTTATGGGGAAGGACATCCAGTCCCTCGAGACTTCTTTCACAATGTCACTAACTGGTTGAGGGAATGCTCGCCTGCGTATGCCACTCATTACATTCGTCAACGTGACAATCCAGTTTGGAACCCATTGTTATTGGACCATGGATATTTAATAGCCGATGATTACACGGCTACTATTCTCAAAGCCGTCGTAAACGTCAGTCCCCGAGGCTTTCATTCTTCCTCCAAAATTCTCGACTATTGCGTCTCGTGGAATCTTCAGTTTGTAGTTGCAGTTCCGGAAGGATCATTGCCGATGTTCTGCCAAGGGATGGAAACTTACTCCCCTTTTGTGGTGAAGACCTGCGACTATCCTCACCGACCAGGCTGGAATGAGCGAGAGATCAATGACTACTGTGGCATCGCCGACCTCAACGAGCAGTATGTCCGTCTAGTCCACGAAATTACGGATCGAGAAAACGTGGGTGCCATGATCATGCAAGGCAACGTTATTGCTTTTCTTGTCAAGTACTTCAGGGGAATCCGTTGTTGCGACTGCAGCCTATTTACGCATGTAATTGTGCAATCTAACATGTTTTACATGCATACTGAGATATAGTGAGCGAGCGGACTAAAACTACACATCGACACTAAGGCTACGTGGTGCAATGATATGGAATATAACTTATGGCATAAGAAGCAACGGGATTCTAAACAGGACTTAGTCACAGCACTGTACCTGATGGGCATGCATGATGAGAAGGCCAAACCCTATACCCAATGCCTTAGGCTTTAACTTACAAGCATGCTCGTGGGAGCTAGATAAAACCTTGAAGATTGCAGTGACACTGAGAATACTTAGCGCGCTCGCTAACTGTGACGCATCGTACCTGAAAATCCAGGGAGATCCTTAAGCGAGATGACAGATATCACTGGCACGAACTTGGGCAATGGGCTTTGGCCGAAGTCCGCAAGCCCATGTTCCATTGTTCTGAGTCCCATTGTTCGAAGACTCACTTGTTGCCGTGTCTACGAGAAGCCTCTGTGAATCCAAGAAAGAAGTCCTGAACGACATATGCCAGAACTGATAGTTCCATGCACCTAGACCTGTCGGTCGCTAGAGAACAAGCCCACGGGTGTCAGGAGAGCACCTCTTGGCATGCATTTAGTGAGCTCACTATAGAAATGAGACTAAAACTGGGAAGTCCGACTCGGATGCTCAGTAAGGCGGCGGTGGCAACATGCTACGCATGTAGGAGTCTGGGTACTGCATGATGTTTGTAATTCTAATTCCCCTGTAGTATAAGTAGGCTGGTTACAGTAGGTAGAGGCAAGTTTTGAGCCCCCGAGTTCCTGTACACACGTTGAAGGCGGTACTGTAACAAAGGATCAGTTTGTGACTTCGAGCTGTGCATAGAATTAGCGAGCTCACTCAGAGAAATACAAGATACCCTTTTGATAAGACTTTTGAGAACTTAGTCAGAGTGAATACGAATCAGTGACGCTGTTTCTGTTCTGTTAAGTGTGATAAGTCTGTTCGGAGAATGTGTTGAAGTGGAAATCTGAGATCTGTTCTGTTCTGTTCTGTTCTGTTCTGTTTCAGTCTGTTCCATGTCAGTTCTGTTCGAAGTTCCGTTTCTGAATCTGTTTTCCGAGCACTTCTGAAGTGTTCTTAAGTCGAGATAACCTGCTGGAGTTAGTTGGAGAACCCCTACATACAGCTGTGTAGCGAGCGGGCTAAGTCAGTGCTTGCCTGTGGTGTTCTTTTAGCAAGCTCACTAAAGTTTCAGCGTGTATTGCCTCTATTTCTGTTGGGATCAGTGTCCCTTGTGTATTATAACTCAAATCTGCCTTGAAGGTTGCATTGTGCCAGTGAACGACCTTCCTGTAAAAAGTTCCTAGACTCAGGAATTCATTAGAGAAAGCTTAGCTTCGCTAAGAGCGCTGAGAATAAGAGAAACTCTTCGAGATATTGAAGTATAGTTGGATCACATTAGAAATAATCGCTCCCCCTAGAACTTACGAGGGTGATTGTAGTTTGTGTAGTTGTGTGAGTGTGTGTGTGGGTTTTTGAGGTTCGCCTTTTAGCCTGCTCACTATTCCACAGGTGCCCACAGCCAGCCTCTTCACCATGCCATGGAGAAACTAATGAGAGGGCCATCCATCATCTGCATGCACAAATTCAAATGCCAATCGCATCCTCCAGCGATCAACTCTCCCCAACATCTGTTGCACAATCCTCTTACTAACGGTGAGGTACAGGCGTTACAAGGATTTGTGGAACAGTTCGATTCTTCCAGCCCTCGAATGCTTTTTCCTACAGATGATATCTTTGAAGAGTACTTCAAACCTAGGTCTCGGGGATGGAATCACGAATGCTCCAAGTTCATGATGGAGATTATCGGCAATGTTGAACAGGGAGTAGCAGAAGCTTTGACCAAATCTGGGTGGAGAGATTACATCCACCAGTACTGTCGAGTTCATGGACTCTCGGAATCTTACAAGGTTACGAAAATGGATAGGTTATATGGCAAAACACTAGTATCGAAAGGATTTCCTGGGGACTGGACCCAGATCAAGCTTTCTAGCTTGTCCATTCCTGAGGCCTACCGTGGCATATCAGAAGATGAAGCTGATTGAGTCATTGTGGCGTAGGGGGGCACTGTAAAGAGTACATGATGTGACCTGAGTCATGTTATGATCTGGGTGCTATTTTAATTTTGATGACTCATGTATTTTAGTTATGATTCTTGATGACACCTTCATGACTCACATATTTAATTTGAAGTAGTATATAAAGCTTGTAGATCAAGAGAAATATAACTTCTTCTACCCTAACTTGTTGTTACGGTTTACTCATTTCTTTTCTTTTTCCTTTGTATTACTCAGCCTGATTACTCATATGCGATCATGACGGACGCATTCTCACAGTACTATTTTTAGTTTACCAACATGTATTTAAGTAGAGCCTCAGCTGGCTTAATCCCCAGCTTCGGCTAAGGTTTAATCTACCTAACATCGAACTCCGCCCTTCGTGACTATCTGTCCCATCGACTTTCATCGCCTTTGACTTACTAGAGCATCTCCTACCGAAGTGCGAGTAGGGATCCTAGTACGATCTAAGTCGATAGAGTTAGTGGCTAACATTTAGCCGAAGCTTGCTTAACGTTGCCCAGCGTCGTGCTGCCCAACATTTACTTCTTCATTATCCTCCTCTTGGTAGCCGATTGGATCCTTCCACTCGTACTACCTGACCCAATCCTTACCGTCGTCCTTATAGTCCTTGTGACTACCCTTTTTGTTCTAGCGACCATCCCGGCACCACTACTGGCAGCCCTGCTTGTAGCAGCCTACGTTGGCCTCCTACGAATTTAAAAAACACGAACCTCTTCACCCTACTTTTTCAGCTCACTTCTCTGTTAACAATTCTATTGTTAACGTTAACGAGCACCTCTGAGACTAGCGAAACCCTGCTGATGAACGGTTCGAGCTATGAAACCGACCTCAGTTTGATTATCACAATCCTCATCATCCTCACCATACTTGCGGTCTATCAGCTTGCATGGTCAATCGTTGACTTACACCAAGGATAGATCCACTCACGGATGCCCTGGTCCGACACCATTCTCGCCGTCTTCACGACTTTTATACTCTTTTTCTTGTCCATTATTTTGTACCGACTACACCGCTGTTTTCGACAACAGAGGCGAGTCTGTGCACAACTTCCTCTCCACTATGTTCCCAGCACCCCCGTATACCTGCCACCAGTAATCCACATCCCCACGGCATCCCAGCAGACAATACGAGATGTCGTATCCAACGCCTTCGGGGGACCTGGAGGATCCCTTTACAGATCGTCGCAACCCAGCTTGCGATCCTCAGAGTCGAGCACCGACTCCTACAGAAGCGTTACCAACGAGTCAGCCGACTCAGTCGACATCACCGACACCTGGGGCGTACTCCTCGACAGAAGAGACTCGCCCGTACCAGGTCTCTTCGACCAGTCTCCAGTCCAAGGCGAGTCAGGCGCCGCCTGAAGCCGAGGACAAGGCACCAGGAATCTGGACGAGGGCGAGGAAGGCGCTGACACCGAGTACGAAGGGGACAAGCTCTCAGACTGGGAGAGGACCCGACTCGACGACCTCCTCAATGACCTCTACCCGAATCCGGAGGAAGATGCAACCCATCCCGGAGACAGCGATAGCGAGAGGTCGGGTACCCGTGGGACAGACCCCGACTGGTCAAGTGGGAGCAGGAGATATAGAGTTGCCCAGGAAGACGACTTCGACAGTGATTCCGGAGAGCTTGCCCTTGGGACCTCTGCCGCAACTACCACCCGTACAGATGGGACAAGACCCATTCTTCCTAACAGGCCGACGGACAGAGGCCCTCCAATCAGTTGGCACCCCAGTACCAGTTGGGTCTACGCCGAGCCAAGGGAAGAGACTCCTATGGCCCGAGTCCCGACCCCGAGGAGCATCCCTGTCCCCGAGCACCCAACGCCCGCTCCCGCCATCGCCAGGGCTGAACTGACAGATCAGCAGCTCTGGGAGGAGTTCCCGGACTACAGCCCCGAGGAACTTGGAGCAATTGCCGGGGCCGGGGACCTCGCCCCAGTCACCTTTACACCGTCGGTTGCGGGGCGAGCATTCGCCGACCCTGTCCCTATCCTCCAGCGTCCATGGACGCTACTCTACCACACGCTCGTCGAGTCGCTCAACCTCCCTCGAGATGCCCAGGAGTCCCCAGAAGTCGAGGCCCGAATGGACCGAGGAAGAGTGGCAGACTTATGCACTCGACGTGCTGAAATCGCCGCCCTCCTCGGGCCCGATGGTTTCCATGACCTCCCCGTCGAGCCCGATGCCACCCATGCCGAAATCGAGAACAGACAACGAGCCGCCGCGCTCCGATACACAGGGCGCGCCGAGCAAGCAGGAACAGACCTCGAGGCCCGCCGAAGAGCCTGGCAGGCCTATGAGTCGGAGATCAGCGACCCCGACTCCGACATCGGGAGGTGGAGGAGAAACAAGGAGATCGACAGACTCGCCCGAGAGAGGAAGGAGGCCGAGGATGCCGAGTCGGC